GAGAAAGGTAGAAATGCTTTGGGTCATGGTGAAGAGCGAGTTAAGTAGAACAGTGGCGGTACCCACAAGTAGATTCTGTGACATGCGAATCATGTGGCCGAAACGTGATGAATACTAAGTTATTCAATCCCACTTTGGGCTGTGATGACGTAGCTTGCAGGAAACCAGCAAGAACAAGCAGAATTGAGAGCAAACATCGGAACAAAGGCATCTGCCACTGTCAGGTTGCTGCTGAGGCACCGGACCCAAGCAGTGCCACCGTGAAGACCAGGGGATCTGATTGAGTTGAGCCCGGCTTTCTGCTTCCCTCCTGTGGGCCTCCGTGGACTCTCACTGCTTCTCTCCTGTGGCCATCTGTGGACTCTCGGTGCTTCCCTCTGGTGGGCCTCCGTGGACTCTCACTGCTTCTCTCCTGTGGCCATCTGTGGACTCTCGGTGCAGGGCAAGAGACCAAAAAGCCAGAGCGAGGCTGTGAGAGAAAGAGAAGAGAGCAGAGCTCTAAGTCTCGTGGGGCTGAGAACACAAAGATTGGAGTTTGAGGGCGCCAGGTTTGTGGAATTCAGATCCCCAGCAGAAGAGAATCCTGGAGGGACGGCCCAGACCTGGGCAGCACTTGTTGATAATGCCGCACAGGCGAGAGTGACGGTGTTTGGCAGCCAGTGGCGCCAGAAAGAAAAAGATTAGGGCTCAGGACTGTCAAGAAGAGAGACCTTAGGAAAAAATGCAGGCGCTCAGGAGTCTCGCAGGAGGATGCTCTCGGGCCAGGACAAAGCAGAGGTGTTCCAAACCTTTCGAGGAACGCTGACCAGCCTTGAGTCAGCTGTGGGATCCGAGTCAGGGGATTTGCTCCTTTGCTGTTTATTGCCTGCAAGAAGACCAGGGGTGTCTTCCCTGGAAGGAGACAACTTAACCTCTAGAATTTTCCTTACAGGATGGATGAAATTCAATTTAAAAAAATTCACCAGACATCTAAGAAATAGACGAGCAGGAAAATAAGATGATACAAACAGACCCAAAGATGACCAAGATTTTGGGGCTTCAGGTAGAGATGTTTAAATAGTTAGGATTTTAAAATAAAAACTATTTAACAAGATGGAGAATCTCATTAAAGGAATAGAATCTGTTAAAAGAATTCAAAGGAAATTTTAGAACCAAAAAAATACTTCTGAAATTAAGGACTCAACTGATGGTTTTAAAAGCAGATTGAACATAGTTAAAGAGAGAATTAGTGAACTGGGTTGTAGGTCCATAGGAAGATTCAGACTGCACCATATTAAGAAAAAAAACAGTAGAGACAGAAAAGAGAATAAAAGACACATGGCTCATGTTAAAAGGCATACGCTGGAAAATAAGAGAGGAATTAGAGGATAAATGCATGGAAATAACATTGAAGACATCAAGCCATAGGTTTCAGAAGCACTGTGTATCCTAAGCAGAACAAATTAAAAGAAGTTCACAGCTAGCCAGACCAGAGTAAAACTGCTGAGAAAGACAAAGAGATAAGTTTTTTATTTTCCTAATGTTTATTTTTTTATTTATTTGAAAGGCTGAGAGACAGACAGACAGACGTATCTTCCATCTGTTGGCTCATTCACCAAATGCCTGCAGCTGCTAGGGTTGGGCCTAACTGAAGCCAGGAGCCTGGAACTCCATCCATGTCTCCCATGTGGGTTGCAGGGACCCAAGCACTTGAACCACCATCTGTTACCTCTGAGGGTGCGTTGGCAGGAAGCTGGATCAACAGAGGAGTAGTAGCAGTAATGGGACTGCCCTGTAATATGGGATTTAGGCTTCACAAGTTGGGGGGTCAACCTGCTGTGCCACAGAGCCCACCCCAAGATAATTTTTTAAATCATTTGTAAATAAAAGGTCATGTGTCTTTTCAAAGCAGCAATTCAAGGATGTCTACAAAAGTTCTACAGATAACCTCATATTTCCTGGTAAATATTTTATAGATAATCATGTATTTCTTGGTAAGTTTGAGAATATCACAAAGCCCTCCAACAGGACTTCTATTCAGTTTTGTATGAATATTTCAGCTAAATGAGTATGGGAGGGCAGATACAGGCTTGAGAAAGATGAAATAAAATGGTCTTTTGTTGCAGACAACCTGACTGAATACATAGAAAATCCAAAAGATCAGCAATATTATTATAAATAATGAACTTAATAAAATCTCTGAGTCTAAGATCCATATACAAAGATCAGTCACTTCTGTAGTTTACCAATGAAAAAGTTAAAAATTAAAATTTTAACATATACCCTTTACAAAAAACCAGAAATGCAAAATATACAGGAATAAATCTATAATCATAAACTATGTACAAGGCCTCTCTACAGAAAACTGCAAAGCACTGTTAAGAGAAATAAGGGGCCAGCATTTTGGTACAGCAGGTTATATCACCACCTGTGACACCAGCATCCCATATGAATACTGTTCAAGTCCCAGCTGCTCCACTTCCAGTCCAGCTCCCTGCTAATCACCTGGGAAGGCAGCAGAAGATGGCCCAAGTGCTTGGGCCCCTGCCACCCATGTGGGAGACCTGAACAGAGTTTCATGCTCCTGGCTTTGGCCTAGCCCAGCCCCAGCCAACGCAGCCATTTGTGGAAGAACAAGTGGATGGAAGATTCTCTCTCTCTCTCTCTAACTCTGCCTTTCCAATAAACAAAATATTTTTTAAAAAAGGGAAATTAAAGATGATCTAAGTACATGAAGAGATATCCCATGTTCATGGATTAAGAGATTCAGTATTATAAACACTTCACCCAAAATTTATCTATAGATTCATTACCTCAGGACTGTGTTAGTGAGTGTGAACGTTTACACAGAAAAGCAAAGAGACAAAGATAGCCATCTTGACTTAAAAAAAAATTGGAAAACACAGTACCAGATATCAAGGGCCATTTAAAAGCCATGGTAATTAAAATAGTTTGGGGTTACTGCTGTTTCAACAGGTAGACCAGTGGAACAGAGGCCAAGAAGAGAGTCACATATAGACTTCATTTATGGCAAGATTCTGTTTTGTGGGGCTTTTTGTTTTCTTTAGTCATTTATTTGAAAGGCAGAGTGTGCAACAAAGAGAGAAATCCTACATCCACTGGTTACTCCCCCAAATGGCCACAATAGCCAGGTCTGGACCAGGCTGAAGCCAGGAACCTGGAAATCCATCCAGGTCTCCCACATGGGTAGCAAGGGGCCCAAACACTGGGGTCATCTTCCATTGCCCTCCCAGCATTAGCAGGATTGGAAGCAGAGAAGCTGGACTTGAGCCGGAACTCTGATAATGAGATTCTGGTGCTGCAAGCAGTAGCTTAACACACTGTGCCATAATGTCAGCCCCAACTCACTGTCTTTGAGACTTAGTTTCCTTGTCTGTAAAATAGACAAAGTGCCTACCACATAAGATTTCAATATTACATGTAAAAAGGATTTGTATAGGGGCCTACGCTGTAGCATAGTGGGTGAATCCATTGCCTGTGACACCAGCATCTCATATGGGTGCCAGTTTGAGTCTTGGCTGCTCCACTTCCCATCTAGCTCCCTGTTTATATGTCCAGGAAAGCATCGGAGGATGGTCTAAGTGCCCCTACCATCCATGTAGGAACCCTGGAGGAAGCTCCTGGCTTCTGGCTTCAGCTTCTGGATCCAGCTCTGGCCTTTGTGGCCATTTGGGGAGTCACCTAGTGGATGGAAAGTCTCTCTTCCTCTCTCGGTCTCTCCTTCCCTCCCTCCCTCTCTCTCTCTCTCTAAATCTGCCTTCTAAATAAATAAATCTTGGAAAAAAAAGGATTCATGTAGTATATGAAAAAGAGTAGCACATATTACAGATAAAGCAAGTGCCCAATAAAATTTAACTAGAATCAATATTACCACTGTGACTACCGCTATTATTGTATTTATTATTTCTGTTGTATTATTATTATTACTAGTTTTTCTCTTTTTCAATATGATCATCTGGAAGTAGGGGAGGGGTAGATATCAAATCCCAGTCAGTACTAAGGAATATTTAGGGGCAAAAAAAATAGGAAATCCGTGTAATTTCTCATAATACAGACTTTTTATGACCTCTTTAAAGTACCCTTGTGTGTGGTGTCCTGCGTTATGTAGCTGAAGTCTTATCCATCTTGGTATTCCGTGCCTTCCACTCCCCCGTATTCCAGCCAGCATCTGCACCCCGTCTCCCTCCCCGTACCCTTTGATACTCCCCAGTGACAATGTTCTAGGGCCATCTGCCACTTTCACACACAATAATGGCTGGCAGGGGCTTGAGTTCTGTAGACCTGGGTTCAGCCTCTTGCTGTCCGCCTTTAATTGGGTGCCTGGAGATCAGGCTCTTCCCAGCTGAGGCTCAACTCCAATCAGATGGTGGAGGTGAGCATTACAGGAGGTGAGGGGAGCAGAGCTGTCTGCACAGGGCACTCACCACAGCAGGGGCGGTGAGGGGCGTGACCACAGCCAGGAGTCCCCACCAAGTCCTTTGTCTCTAGACCTCATGGCTTTTTACCCTGCTGCCTGTTGTTTCCTAATCAGGTGGCCTTGTTTGATAATAAGGCTTCTCAGCTGCTAGACCTGGCCTATAACCAGTGCGGCTGCCCCAGGCCGCTGCCCACTGCGTTCTGTGACTGGGCCAAGGGACACCCGCAGGAAGTACCTCTCCCTCCTGCACTTGGTCACTGGGGAGATCTCGTGGGCCCTGTCTGGGAAGGAGAAGTGCTGTACTCTCAGGTCTCCCCGTGCCGCCCCTGTAGCCTGGCCTCCCTGCCTGCGCTACCCCTGCCTGGGTGAGCAAGACAAGCTGGGAGCTGGAGGTGCAGTGCCTGCTGCGGACAGACACTGTGGGGCCCTTTTGTCTGCACAGCTGCTTGGCCGACCCCCGCAGAGAGGCCCCCCCCCCCCCCCCCCCCGGGCTGGGCGTGTGGGTGGAGTCTGCGCTGCAGTCTGCATTGCCAGAAGAAATTCTGTCCTCCTCGTACAATGAAGCTCGTGATTTGCATTCCAGGTCCTTCAAGTGTCCCATGGGAAGCCGGGCGTTTTCCCATGACAGTATTTTTATCCCTGATGGGGGAGCAGAAAGTGAGCAGACAGTTCAAGCAATGTCACAGGACAGCATCCTGGGCAAAGTCCAGACTCTTCAGGTAAGGCAGCCGGGGGTCAGCGCCCGCTGTGGAGGGAAAGGGGGCGCTCTGGCTGGAAGCTCCAGGGGCCACTCCTGGTGGGGGCGTTTGCTTTCTAAACCAGGCTCGGGTGTCTGGAGGGCCCCCTCCCGCCGTGAGCCCACCGCAGCACCTGCACAACACACCCGCTCCCTTTTACTCAAATCTATCCCCCGTGTTCAGAGCACAAAGAACAAGCACCTGTGTTCAGAGGACAAAGAACAAGCACCCGGAGAAGCTAGTGGGCTTGGACGGGAGCGAGAGCGCCTGGTCCTTAGGCGTTGCTGTGACCCCGGCTGCCTGTCCACTGACAGCGCCCGGCACGCTCTCCTGGCCGCCAGCCCTCCTGGCACAGGGAGTGGCAGGCTCTGTCTGTGTGCTGGCTCCGGGGCCGCCTTGTGGCCCGGGGAGCAGCACAGCCCGCTCTCACCTCCCTGCGGTCCACACTGCAGAGTGAGGCAGGTTTCCTACTACAACGGACCTGTCCTTAGTCATGCTTAGATACGAGCCTGATAGAAGAATTCTTCACCGAAGGCCGCAGACATAGCTGGGACTCGGGGAAGCGTGTCTGACTCTAGGTTTGCCCAGCGGCTTGGTCGAGTCCCCTGGGCGTAGAGAAAGCTCTGAGCGAGCACTCCCCAGAGACAGGGTGCTGGGAGGCGACAGGGACCTCGGGCAGAGGGCTCGGCCTGGCCGATTAACCCTGCAGCGGTGACTGAGTGAGCAAGAACAAAGCGACAGCAGCCCTGAGCGGGTACTGAGAACACGGAAGTCTTATCCTCAAAAGAAAACTCTTTCTTGAGATGTTCTTATCACCACACACTAGCTAGGTACAAAGGAGCTTCAAAAAAATCATGAAAATACGCATTGTGAAAACACTGTTGATTTCAAAAAACGTGCACCGATATAAACCGACCTCCGAGTGCCATTTTCCCCTGAACTTCTCCAAGTCCCCTCCTGCTCTGTGAGCCCTGTGTGGTCTGCGTTCCCCCGTGCCCAGCCAGCTGCAGCCGGTGGCAGCCGGGGAAGCGGCCAACACCCGGGAACCACACCTGCACCTGCCTGTGGCCGCATGCCCCCAAAGCCATCATCCTGCCCTTGGGTCAGCCCTGGCACAGCCCTAAGTGCCCATATTTCCTCACTGGGTGCCAGCATGGGTCTGGCTGGCCATGGTGGTATACTTTCTGGCAAAAGCGAGCTGGGGAAGAGGAGGGGACAGGGATGGCCACAGAGACCCCTGGCCTGTCCCCTACCTCCCTTCCCTCTCTTTTGAGGCCTTGCAGCTCCGCACCTCCCCTCTCCACGAGGAGTGACTGGCTGAGTTCTAAAATTCAGTGAGGGTCCAATCTCATAAGTGCTATCTGCTGCTTACGCCACGTGCCATTCCAGAAAGTGGATTTAGGGTTGTAAAAAAATAAATAAATAAATCTGCAGTACTGGAAGTATAGGAACGCAGTACAACTACCAGACTGCCTGTTGCTGCTGTGAGCAGGAAGGCATGGTTTTTAAGAATCTGACCTTAAAGTTAATAAACTGTGTTGTGACCAGCAGCCCCGAAGCACAGGAGGGCGGAGGGCGGCGCAGGAGTGAGGCGTGCGCTCTCCGTTTGACGTCTGCTCACGCCAGGTCGGCCTGAGCTGGCTTGGGCTGCGTGGGCTTGCCGGCTTCCTTTCAGCCCTCTAGGTCAGGTTTTTGAGGAGGTTAAATGGGGAGCATCAGCCGAGAAAATGTGGTTTTGGAGTGACGGAAGCTACTAGAACTGTCTCACCCCCACAAGCCTGTGCTTTGTTTTCCAGTCGACTAAGCAGTATGCTCCTGGTAAGTCGTAGACGCGGGAGTGACTTGACACGTGCATGAGTGCTTTGCATTTCTCCATGACAACGTGATGCCTGGACGGATGCTGAGCGAGCAGCGGAGACCCCCCCCCCCAGGACGGCAGCATGGAGGAGGGGGCGTGTCCGAGGCATGGAGGAGGGGGCGTGTCCGAGGCATGCATGGTTTCATGTCAGGAACTGTCTTTGTGTCCGTGTGTATGTTTATTTCTTAAAAAGAGAGAAGGAATGGAAAACACCTATTTCAGAGCAAATGCCCCATCCTGGCAAGCTGGCTGGCCACCATAATTAAGACATTCAGTGTGAGTTCTAGCAGAATGCCACTTTTTTAAAAAAGGGGAAAAAAAAAAAAGCCAGTTTTCTCTGTGGCTCAAGAGACTTGGGAGGCCTTGGAAGGCCACGCAGGTTGTTGGTGGGGACTGCATTTGAAAGGCAGCTCTCTGGTGTCCACACCTCCCTGCCACACCGGCCCCCGCTGGCACCTCCACACTGAGCACAGAATGCCTGAGCCCACCCTCCCGTGGGTGATGTCATCCACCACTTGTCAAAACGCCTGCGAGCCTTTTAAGGGCAAAAGTAGGCTCTGTTCTGAGTATACAAGTGACGCATGTGTTCCGTGGGAACATGTTTTAGTACAAGGGACACTCGCAGGAAGACAAGCGACAGCAGTGCACATGCACACGTCAGTCACTTTGTCACCAGCGTAAAACTCCATTCAGATGAGGGAGGGACCTCAGATACAACACGTGCGTCGCGGGACAGGCGCCAGCCCCCGTGTGTGGCCTTGGGTCACCTGACCGCCCCGATACGCACTTCCCTGCCTGAGAAATAAAGGGTGCATCAACGGGCAGTCTGGACCCCTCCGCGGCTCTTACCCCCTACAGCCGTGTGAGGTCACCGTTCCTCTGCCATGGCTCCCAGTGGCCCCACCAGCTTTGCATTTGGTTGCACTTGGGCCACAACAACCTTGACCGAACCGGCAGCCTCCCAGAAGCACAGGTGAGGGAGGGGCCGTGTTTGTGTGAGATCGGAGCAGGCATGAGGTGTGTCTCAAGTGCTGACGAACGCAGGGCAGCCACAGTGTGAAGGCTGCCGCTCACTGCTGGGGTCGCCCACACCTTGGTCAGGAGATGCTCCGTCTGTTGGGGGATGCTTTGATGTAGGCCGGGCCCCATCCTCTGTGGCTCAGATCTCCTGGATTCAGAGTGCCAGAGCCTAGTCACCTGACAGAGCTGTCGGGGACACAGAGTTAAACACCTGCTGGGAGCCACTGGTTCCTTGAGCAGATGGCTCTACATCCGCACGCCCTTTCTTGTCTTTTCTGTTTTGAATTTGTGTTAACTTTGGACGTATCCGTGGTTTTCTCAGGAAGACAGCAGCATCATTTTCCTCTGCTTTGCTCTCACAGACGTGGTCTGAAGAATGGGAAAAAATGTGAGGAAGCCTAGAGCCTGGCAGAGAGCGAGCCGCAGCCCACGATGCACTTGGCATTGGCCGCCCTGGGAGCACCCTCATCCCCAGGGGTGTGTGCTCCTGGGACACAGCTCCCCGCATTCCAGATGACAGCACAGCGGCCCACTCGGAATGAATAAAATATCATTCCCGTTAGCTCACATTCCAGTCCCAACAGTGACTCCATTCATGGGCTCCAGCAAACCGACTCCCCGTCTAGGCACAGGTTTCCACGCTCCTCTGGGGATGACTGCAGTGTGGACAAAGCAAGAGCCCATGGGTAACAAAGAAAAACCCAAGGCAGAGAGAGTGGCCGCTTATTTATCTGAAAACCCTTGGGCCATTTCATTTTAGTCGCCCTGTTACAGCTCCTGTTGTACCATGCAGGAACTGCGGGCGGAATTAAAGTAACCCAAAAGCCACATTTATCCACAGACTTGATCTGCATGACTCCTGCGATTGTAAATAGGTTTCAGCAGTAGCCTCTTTTTTTTTTTAAGATTTGTTTATTTATTTGAGAGGCAGAGTTACAGAGAGGCAGAGCAGAGGCAGAGAGAGATATGGCTTCCATCTGCTGGTTCACTCCCCATATGGCTGCAAAGTCCAGAGCTGAGCAAATCTGAAATCAGGAGCTTCTTCTGGGTCTCCCACGTGGGAGCAGGGGCCCAAGGACTTGGGCCATCTTCCACTGCTTTCCCAGGCCACAGCAGAGAGTCGGATCAGAAGTGGAGCAGCTGGGACTCGAACCAGCGCCCATATAGGATGCTGGTACCGCAGGTGGGGGCTTTGGCCCACTGCGCCACAGTGCCGGCCCCATCAGCAGCCTTTTAATTGTGGATAAATTACACAGATGTCACAACAACAGGGTCCTTTGCATCTGTTGAAGGAAGCATTGCGAGGAGGAGCGATGGGGAGAGCGTGCAGGTGTGACAGCAAGGTCTTGTCCGTGGGTCCTAGAGGATCAGGCACTGTGGCCTTGAACCCAAGCCCCGCCCAGGCCGTGGTCCCCATCTCACGCCAGAGAGCTGCAGGGCGTGCCTGTGAAGACCACCTCTGTCTGGACACGAGCCCGTGGCCGCCTCCTGGCCGGGGCTGCCGTCCACCTGCGCCTCTCACATCCTCCTCCTGGCTCCCCAGCCCTAATTTGCATTTATTTTCCCTGGGGTGTCGGTGCAGGGGAGGGGGGCTCCCATCTGCTTCTTTACTAGAATGCACATTCTTATTCTAAAAGGTGCCAGCATGATGAGCAGATGTGTGGCACAGGCCACCCCTGACAGCATCCCTCCGTCCCCCCGCCCCCCGTCCCTTCGGCCCACCCCACGCTGCTGCAGCTGCATGAGACCGAGACCCCACGGCGCTCTGCGCGCTTTCTCCCCCACGCCCTTATTCTTCCACTCCCCGCTTCATTTCTTCACGTGACTCTGCTCCCCAGCCTTGTTCCACATGCCAGGTTTTTCCTGGTCTTCCTCCAGTTGTTCTTTTCTTTCCTTTGCCCTTGACAGCCACAACGGTCATCCCCTCTGTATTTCCGTGTAGATTTCTCTGAGGCGCTGGGGTGGACACCATCAGCATTCTAAAAGTGCCCAAACCAAGTAAAACATCAGCAGATTCATTCTTTTCTGTGACGGTGGCACACGGCCAAGTCAGATGGCGTCAGTGTTCAGCCACTTCTCCTGGGGAGCGTGTGAGACTTCCCTTCCGTTACAGACCCAGGAAGGGCAGCTGCACAGGCCCACTCGCAGGGAAGAGTAAGCTCGGATTTCTGCCGCACGTACGGTGACTGCAGATAGCGATGATTCATGGAGTATCTCAGAACAGCTAGAAGAGCGCATTCTAAATGTTCCCAGCGCACAGCCGTGTCGTGCGTCTGTGCCGGACACGGTCCCCCTGGTCTGATTGACACCCGGTGTGTGCAGGTGTGGGATGAGCGCCCAGCGCCTGTGAACAACTATAATGCGTCACTTAGAGAACACCATGAGTCAGCCATTGTGGCACCAGTCACAGCACACTCTGCCACCCCGGGCTCAGCCCGAGGGGACTGAGGGCCCCGGCTGGGCCTGGTGGCAGAGTGAGGCCTGGAACTCCACGTGCTCGTCTAACCCCATGGCCTGTTCTTCCCATGCCTGCTTCCTGGTTTGCTTGGGGGAGGGCCTAACCGCCGCTGCCCGCTGGCCCCGTTGGCAGGGGACCTGCGCTCTCGGCTCCCTCCTCCCCGCACCTCCTCAGGCTGCTGCTCCGTCCCTCGCTGGCTGAGCTGGGCTTCTGATGTGTGCTCCTTCCCTGTGGGCCAGGGGCCAGGCCCAGGCTGACACCAGGGGCCCTGGCCTCGCTGCGCCTGCCCTGGCATGCGGGGCTCCCAGGCTCGGGCTCCTTCCTGCTAGTCTCTGCAAGGCCGCTGCCCACCGTGCAAGGCTGAGGGGCAGTGGCAGGTGTGTGTGACGCCACTGACTTGAGAGAGAGAGGCGGCACCCGCTTCTGCCAGGAACCGTCACGCGTACCCCGTGCGGCCTCGTCTCTTTTTGTCCCATTCCTGCAAGAAGGAAGGAGGACTTCGCACCCATGAGCGCTGGTGCATGGCCGTGAGGCACCCCTGCACGTGGACTTGGAAGGCCTGCCTCCGACGCCTGGGGGTCCCGCTGGGCCTCTGTGTTTGCAAAGTGAGGGGCTTAGCGGAGGTGACTGCCGAGGAGCTGGGCAGCTCTGTGGACTACCGGTGACAGACAGGAGTCGGTGTGCTCACCGGGACCACGGAACCCACGCACCCAGCTCCAGAGTAGTGCCCTCAGTGGGGGGCTCTCCCACTGCCCAGAGAACGCAGGGCAGCAGCTGGACAGTTGTCCTGTTCTAACCTGGCCTGCCTCTGACCGCCAGCGCTGTTTATCTTCCCGAATCCTCCCTTGGCATCCGCTTAGTTCCCGCCCTCCAGGAACCAACCCCACCGCGGCCCCTTTCCCCACTGGCCCCCTCTGTCCGTCCCCTGGTCCCAGTCAGAAGCCGAGCCCGTTCCTGTCCCTTACGCGATTCCGGCATTGGCCATGGAGACTTGCTGGCCCTCGGTTCTTCACCTTGGCAGTGACTCCCTCGGTCCCACACCGAGTGCCAGTGAGGAAGGTGCTAGAAGTCTATGTCGGGGTCCCTCGGGGCATTTACCCAAGGGACTTGGCTCCTGCCGTTCATGCCGCTGCTCCCTACACAATTTCTCGGTCCTCGAGAAGACTTTATAGAAGCGTACAGGCTAATCAAACAAGTTTGTCCTAACACATATCCTGACCTCTGGCTCAGAAATCTGGTCCCTGTGCCCCCGGGAAGTGTGGGCATCTCTGGGTGGCAGAGCTCATGGTTTGAAGGCAGGAACGAAACGGGAAAGAGATGAGCTCCTCACGGGACTGCACCCTGGTTGCCGGGCCATGCCCGGAGAACGCCTCGGTGCCCTGCTGGGAGCCCGGCTGTGGGTGCCGGGCCCGCTTCACTGCTTCAGGACGTCTTGTCTTTTCCCTCCAGCAACAGCTGGGCAAGAATATCAAGTTCGGGCAGCGGCCAGCCAATGCCCTGCCCGTGAGGAAGGCAGACGGTGGAGAGGCCAGCCTTGAAGAGGGTCCCCTCCTGCCCAGGCCCATGGAAACTCAGACTCCGCGGGACGTCGTCCTCTCTGACACTGAGAACAAGGTGAGCCTTCCCCAGAGAGGGAGTGACTGCTAACCAGCCAGGGCAAGCCGCTGCACGGCCGCGGGGCGTCTGACAACCCAGGGACTGCAGTGGGGGCTACGGAGAGTATTTCTGATGAGTAGCCTAAGGCCAGAGAGCCCCTCCTGGGGCCGGGAGGAGGCAGAGGGCACAGGCCCTTTGCACATGCTGTTCCCAGCGTCTCCCACACACCCGTCGAGTCCCCCGTGGTGCCCGCCTCTGGGGAAGCCTCACCTGGCACACGCCAAGCAGTATTCTCTGCTCTGTGCTTCTCCGCCTCTCTGCACACCCTGGCCCAGACTCAAAGGTGGCCACACTGCAGGAGGGGCTACCGTGGGCTGGTGGTCACCTAATGAGGGAGGAGCTGCCCACAGCAAGTCCCCAGCAGACTCACTGGCAGTCTAGGAAAAGGCTGGCTGCCTCCAACACAAACCCAGGCAAGAGGAAGCAAGCGAGGAGGTGGGGGCGAGGAGCCAGCGCAGGGGCCTGTCCGCAAGGCAGGCCCGTATGGCCAGGCCCTGGCGGGGGACAGCGGGAAGGCAGAGCCAGGGGCTGGAGCCGGATGGGGGACTGGGAAAGGGGAATTCTGTTCTGAAGGAGCAGGGCCGCAGGGGGTCTGGCTTGTGTGTCCTCAAGATCTGAGCGTGGCGTGGAGAAGGGACCCCGGCAGGGCCAGCGGGTGTGCCAGCCCGGGTCGTAGGAGCGGCTGCTCACGTCGACGTCAGCCCTGGCGTTCCCGGGGCCCACCCCGACGACCCTGCAGAATCTTCCCGTTTTCTCCTCCTCGATGCCCTGGCCTTTCACCTTCCCAGCCGGGCCGTGCGGGGCTGGTGGGCAGCGGAAGGGCCTGAGCCTGGAGCCCTGTGGCTCGGCTCTGTCCCAGGCGTGCTGCACCCCCGGGTCCCTGGGGCAGTGGAGAGGGCCCAGGCAGGTGGAGGTGGGGGCAGCGCCTGTGCCCCGGGGTTGGGGGGGAGCAGTGTCCCCACGTTTCAGTTGAGTGCCCTCGTTATCCTTGCAGGCCGGCCACACGCCAGGTTCTCCGGGTGCTGTGAACCCGCCAGGAGGGGGAAGCGACATGGAGGAGAAGGTAATCGGAGCAGAACTCTCTTTCTTAAACTTCCATTTTAACTTAAAAAAAAAAACAAAAAAAAAACCGGTGCGTCATTTCCTGTTCATAAATGCTGTCTATACACAGTTAAAGGCATTACCTTAAATTCTTTGGCTGTGTGACAGTGCAGCCGCCAGACCTGAGCCCTGCTCTGAGAGAGCCACACTCCCAGCATGCCCCGGGGAGCTCGCAGACGTCGAGTCTCTGCTAATCTCTGAACAGGTATTCCAGAACGCCGGACCTCGCCCAAATCTGTAGCCACTTAATGTACATTTAGACATTTAAAAAAGGAGCCCTTGGCACTGTAGCGTTTCCCTTATGTATTTTTTTGTTTGTTTGTTTACTTTCCTGTGTCCCTTTTAAACGTGAGGCTTTACCTGCAGGAGTCTTGGGGACCTGTGTCCTGCCTGTGTAGGAGTCACCTGCACTGGGGGCGGGCCCCCTCCCGAGGTCTGGCAGCTGGGACAGTGACAGGGCTCGAGCTGGTGGCAGCCAGGGGCATGAGACACAGAGCATGGCCCTTAACCTCGGCGTCAGGGGCGTACCCACGTCTTCACTCTCTCCTGTTCCTCACGCACCTCCTAGGGGTGGAAACAAATGTTTCATTCATTGCTCTTAAGCAGTAGCTCAGATTGGGCACCTACGAAGCCAACCGTAAATAACACAAAAGCTAGAAAGAGGCTGGAAGTTTTTTTCCCATTTCCCTCTGCTCTTTGCCTTAAATGAATACATACCGAGCATCCGTTGTGCTCTCGGACCAGGCGTGGCCCTTCATCTTTTGTGCACAGATAGAAGGTGATTGCAGGCGGCATGCCTACAGCTGAACCTCATGGGCTGCACACTTGCAGCGGGAACGCGCTCAGACGTGAGCCCTGGCTGCAGCGAATGCCCTCCTGTCTGCCAGGAGCTGTGGGCATAGGCAGCTGGGTCTGTGAGCGCCCCCTGCTGCACACCCGTTGCACTGTGTGGCCAGGAGCCCTTTCCTCCCCGGTGGCCTGTCAATTCCTGTAGTTCCAGACCGGGCTGCCCACCTCTGAGTCAGTGTGGCCTCTGGGTCCTCTGACTTCTGCATACCCCGGTCTCGCTGACAACCTGAGCCGGGCAGGGGGTTCGCCTCTGCACTGCGCCGCAGGCTGGCCCACGGTGCTTCCTTTGGGAATCGCATGCCACCCATCTTTTCACCACTGTCCTTCCTTTTCTTTTCTTAAGATTTATTTATTTTAAAGATAGTTACAGAGAAGGAGAGACAGAGAAATCTTCCACCCACTGGTTCACTCTCCAGATGGCCGCAACAGCCTGAGCTTACCCCAGGCCAGGAGCCAGGAGCTTCTTCCGGGTCTCCCATGTGGGTGCAGGGGCCCAGGCACTTGGGCCACGTTCTAGTCATTTTTCAGGCCATAGCAGAGAGCTGGATTGGAAGAGGAGCATCCAGGACATGAACTGGTGCCCATATGGGATGCCGGTGCTGCAGGCAGAGGCTTGGCCAACTACACCACAGTGCTGGCCCCGTGCCCTTTCATTTTATGTAGGGCAGAGGTGGCATGGGGTTGCTGGGAGTTCTTTCACCCACTGTTCACTTCTCAAACACCTGCAACACCTGAGGCCAGGCCAGGCCAAAGCCAGAAGCTCGGGACTCCATTCAGGTTTCCCACATGGGCGGCAGGAACCCAAATACTTGGGCCACCACCTGCTGCCTTCCCAGGCACATTACAGGAAGCTGGATTAAAGCAGAGTAACTGGGACTCGAACCAGCTGTGATATGAGAAGCAGGCATCAAAAGTGGCGGCCTTGCCGGCGCCGCGGCTCACTAGGCTAATCCTCTGCCTAGCGGCGCCGGCACACCGGGTTCTAGTCCCGGTTGGGGCACCGGATTCTGTCCCGGTTGCCCCTCTTCCAGGCCAGCTCTCTGCTGTGGCCAGGGAGTGCAGTGGAGGGTGGCCCAGGTGCTTGGGCCCTGCACCCCATGGGAGACCAGGAGAAGCACCTGGATCCTGCCATCGGATCAGCGCGGTGCGCCGGCCGCGGCAGCCATTGGAGGGTGAACCAACGGCAAAGGAAGACCTTTCTCTCTGTCTCTCTCTCTCACTGTCCACTCTGCCTGTCAAAAAAAAAAAAAAAAAAGTGGTGGCTTAACCCATCGAGCCATAATGACCACATCTCCACACCTTAAAAAAAAATGTTGGAAAGGTAGAGAGAGAGAGAAGAAGAGAGAGAGATCTGCCCTCTGTTGGCTCATTCCCCAGATGGCCCAGGCAGGCCTGGGCAACGCCAGACTTGACTGGTGCTCTAGTATGGGATGCCGGCATCACCAGCAGCTGTTGAACCCCCTGTGCCACAAGGCCAGCGCCTCACCAGAGCGCCTCCTTTCGGCTTCTTGGAGCGCTCGGGACCACATGGCTTTGGAGCGATCGTGCGAGACATTTTTGCTGACAAGACATTCCATGTCCTGGGCGCAGATGTTACAGTCATCCCTCAGAGTCCAGGGACCCCAGAGCCCCAAATGCCTCCAGGTCCCTCACATGAAACAGCATGGCATTTTCCTAGAACCTCTGCACGTCCCCCTGTACGCCCGAGGTCACCTCTGGAGGACCTGCAATACTTAGTACAATGTGACTATTTTTAAACAGTTGTTAGACTGTCCTTTCAGGCAGTTGTATAAGAAAAAGCCTGTCCACGTTCAGTGGAGATGCATTTTTTTTCCAGATAACTTTGATGTAGAATTGCTTGAATCTGCACATGCAGATCGCTCCGTGATGTGCTTTATGAGATTTGCAGCTTGCGCATCAAGGAGTGTGAGAGAGAGGAACCAGACACCTTTCCTGCCTGGGGGGCCGAGGCACACGCGCACGGGCTCTGGCAGCAGACACGACCTGGCCCAGGGTTCAGCAGACTCATCATCTCAGGCTCTGTGACCACGAGGCCTCTGTGGTGCGGCTGCTTTGCTTAGAGCACCACAGAGAGAGGACGTGGCTGGCTACCTCTAAGGCCGTCCCCCAAAGCAGGCTGTGGGAAGGCTGCGTTTACTCTATCCCCAAGTTATTCAGTGGAGGGAATTAGGCCAGGAAAGGTTAGGTGCCCACAATTAGTCCACACCCTGCCTTCAGATTCCAAACCCAGTGCTCGGCCACCGGACAGGTGCGCCACTCCCTGGGCCCGGCTGCCGCAGCAGGTGCACGCTCACGCTGGGGCTGCCGCGCTGGGGCTCCCTGCCGTTGTCTGTGGGTCCAGACTGACTCGGCCTTCATGTGCCCTACAGGTGGCTCCGGTGAAACCGTCCCGGCCAAAAAGGCACTTCTCTTCAGCCGGCACCATCGAAAGTGTCAACCTCGATGCCATCCCCCTGGCCATCGCCCGCCTGGACAACAGCGCTGCCAAGCACAAACTGGCCGTGAAGCCGAAAAACCAGAGAGTGTCCAAGAAGCACAGGCGGCTGGCGCAGGTACGCGGGGGCGCCCAAGCTCGCTGGGCACCAGCTCTTCGAGCTGCCTGGGGCCAGGGTGGCGTGGTACAGGGATCTAGGGCCCTCCCCACTGGGCACGTAGCGAGTGGCAGTGTGCAAGGACACGCCGGCCCGTTCTCTTTCTGCCCCCTTTCTCGGGCCGGGGGACCACCGAGGGGGACAGGACCTTTGGAGGGGCTCCACAGCGCTGCACAAAGGCAGCCCGGCTCTGCCTGCCGTGGCCCCGCCACAGGGCGCTCGCGCTGGCCGCGCCGAGCCACAAGCTGCAAGGCGCGCTGGTGAAGCCCGGGTCTTCCTTCGCTCATCTCCCTGATGCTGGGCTGGTGGCCTTCCTGTTGCCCATCCACACTAGGAGAGAGGAACTGGGGGTGACAGGCAGGGGCCGCGGGGCCACGCGCAAAGATGAGGCTCTTCCCTCCACCCCAGTCCCTCCCACTCGCTGTGGCTGACACCCGAGGAGCCCTGCGGCTCTCCATGGGCACTCCTGCCCCTCCTGGGTGCCCGGGCACCTGTGTCATGGGAGGAGGGGCGTCAGCTGTCTGTGGGGAGAGTAAGGGGCTAATCGTTTCCCTTCCACCGTCAGGAGGCACCGGACGAGCGACACGGCCTTGAGAGCGAGTCCGGCCGACAGCAGAACGGGCACCCCGGGGAGGAGCAGCACGCCTGGCTGCCGGGCTCCGAGGAGCAGCAGAGACACCAGGAGGACTACTGGCGAGAACTTGAGGCCAAGTGCAAGCGGCAGAAGGCGGAGGCGGCTGAGAAGAGGCGCCTGGAGGAGCAGAGACTGCAGGCGCTGGAGAGGAGGCTCTGGGAGGAGAACCGCAGGCAGGAGCTCTGGGAAGAGGAGGGCGAGGCAGCCGAAGGCCGGGCGGAGCGACTGCAGCTAGCAGTGGAGCCGGGCCAGCCGGGCCCTGCACAGCCGGAGGAGGGAGAGGGCCCGGCGGCGGGAGCCCAGAGGCAGCTGCAGGAGGAAGCCTGGCAGCTGGAGCAGCTGGGGCAGGGAGAGGAGCTGGAGACACAGAGGAGGCAGGAAGCCGACAGGCTGCAGCTGCAGGAGCAGAAGGAGCTGGAAGCCGAGAGGCGGCGGCTGCAGGAGGAGGAGGCCAAGCGGCTGGAGCAGCTGCAGCTGCAGGAGGAGCTGGAGGCACAGAGAAAGGAGGCCGAGAGACTGCAGCTGCAGGAAGAGGAAGCCAGGAGGCTGGAGCAGCTGAGGCAGGAGGAGGAGCTGGAGGCACAGAGAAAGGAGGCTGAGAGGCTGCGGCTGCAGGAGGAGGAGGCCAGGCGGCTGGAGCAGCTGAGGCAGAAGGAGGAGCTGGAGGCACAGAAAAGGCAAGAGGCCGAGAGACTGCGGCTGCAGGAGGAGGCCAGGCAGCTGGAGCAGCTGCGGCAGCAGGAGGAGCTGGAGGCACAGAGAAGGCAGGAAGCTGAGAGACTGCAGCTGCAGGAAGAGGAAGCCAGGAGGCTGGAGCAGCTGAGGCAGGAGGAGGAACTGGAGGCGCAGAGGCGTCGGGAGGCTGAGAAGCAGCAGCAGCTGCAGGAGGAGGAGGCCAAGAGGCTGGAGCAGCTGAGGCAGCAGGAGGAGCTGGAGGCACAGAGAAGGCAGGAAGCCGAGAGACTGCAGCTGCAGGAGGAAGCCAGGAGGCTGGAGCAGCTGACACAGGAGGAGCAGCTGGAGGCACAGAGGCGTCGGGAGGCTGAGAAGCAGCACCTGCAGGAAGAAGCCCAAAGGCTGGAGCAGCTGAGGCAGCAGGAGGAGCCGGAGGCTGACAGGGAGCCCGGGGAAGCACCGCCGAGGCCGGAGGAGGACAGACCCCCCCAGCCAGAGGGCAGTGGGGGCCCGCCGAGCCCGCGCGGTGACTTGGGAGAGAAGCGGGAAGAACGAGAAAACCCGGAGGAGCGCACGCCGGAGGCGGAGCCCGCGAACCAGCGGCCCCGCGGGAGCCCGGATTCCAGGAGCGAGGAAGGGCGCCCTCCGCGGGCCCAGGTGCGAGAGCCGCGGGCCGCGGTGCACCTGGAGGGGGCGGCGGGGAAGGAAGAAGCTGCCGCCCCGGACAAGGGCCGCCGGGTGGAGGAGCTCCGGTGGCAGGAGGTGGACGAGCGGCAGAGCATGCCCAGGCCCTACACCTTCCAGGTGTCCTCGGGAGGCAGGCAGATTCTCTTCCCCAAAGTCAACCTGAGCCCCGTGACGCCCGCCAGGGACACCGGCCTAAGCCTCGCGCCCCAGGAGCCCAGGGCGCCCCCGGCGTCGCGCGCGCTGCCCGCAGCCCTGAGCGTCCCGCACACGGCCATCCTGGTCACCGGAGCCCAGCTCTGCGGCCCGGCCGTCAACCTGAGCCAGATCAAGGACTCAGCCTGCAAGTCCCTGCTGGGCCTGTCGGAAGACAGGAAGCACGGGGACGTCGCCGCCGGGCCGCCCCGAGCCCCCGGTGACCCCCGGCAGGGCAGCGCCAAGACGCGGCCGCCCCAGGAGCGCCCGGGCAGCGGGGCGGCGCTGGCCGAGTGGGCGTCCATCCGCTCGCGCATCCTGCGCGCCTCGGAGGGAGAGGCGCGCGGCGACCGAGAGCCGGCGAGGCCCGGGGACGAGGCCCCGCGCGGGAGCCTGCGCAGGCCCGCGCCGCCCGGCGCCAAGTTCTCCATCAAGCCAGCCTGGCAGAAGTTCTCAGACGGCGGCGCCGACGGCCCCAGGCCGAGCGTGGAGGCCGAGAGCACGAGGAAGAGACCCGCGCCGGGGCCGCCGCCAGCCACCGCCGCTGCTCCCGAGCCCCGCAAGAGCCCCGAGAGGCCGGGGGCGCCGCCGGAGCCGGCCGACGCCACGGAGGGGTGCAAGTTTGCCAAAGACCTCCCGTCCTTCCTGGTCCCGAGCCCCCCTTACCCTGGGCTGAAAGCGGCGGCCCATGCAGAGGCCGCGGCCACGTGGAGCAGTGAGGCCGCGAGGGACGTCGCCAAGCCGGAGCCCGCGACGCCGGCCGGGGAGGAGAAGGCCTCGCCCTTCGGGATCAAGCTGAGAAGGACCAACTACTCCCTGCGCTTCCACTGCGACCAGCAGGCCGAGCAGAAGAAGAAGAAGCGGCGCAGCAGCACGGGAGACGGGGCCGAGGGCGCGCAGCCCGCCGCGCCGAGCCCGGGGGCGGACGCGGAGGCCCAGGGCGCGGCCCTCCAGCGCGGCCCGGCCCAGCCCCCGGAGAGGAAGCCAGCGCAGGTCGCCCGGAGGGAGGCAGCCGGCAGCCACCCTGCGCCGGAGACCCAGGCCGGGGCCCCTCCGGCCCCCGAGCAGGACAAGGCAGCCACCAGAATGCCGCTGGCACAGAAGCCGGCGCTGGCTCCCAAGCCCGCCAGCCAGACCCCGCCGCCGTCGCCCCGCTCGAAGCTGAGCAGGCCCTACCTGGTGGAGCTGCTGGCGCGCCGAGCCGGCAGGCCGGAGCCCGAGCCCAGGGCGCCTTCCCAGGTGGGCCAAGAGAGCGGTGATCACGGGCCGCCGTCGCCACCACCCCCTGAGGAAAGGAAGGGGCCGAAGAGGGAGGAGGAGGAAGAGGGGGCGCCGCAGAGGAGCCCCTTGTCCCCACCTGCTCTCGCAGCTCCGCAGGAGCCGCCTTCCCAAGCGCCCGAGGCGGGGAGGAGAGGTAGGTGGAGGTGCGGGGAGGTGGGGGAGGGCACGTCTGCTGCAGTCGCTGGCCCCGGGAGCCCCCTCTCCCCACGGGACACCCACTGGGGAGTGGTGGCCGGCTCTTCCCTTTTCAGCCTGCGATCTTGGAAGTGCTACCCCGCTCTGCGTCTGCAGTGCACACCTGGTAGGGTTAGTCACGGGTAATAAGGGAGAGGTGCTGAGGTCGCATTTGAGTGGGAAAGGCAGAGAGATCTCCCGTGATGTGGTTCAGCACCCGAAGGCCAGCAGTAAAAGCCGAGGCCGGGTCACAGCCAGGAGCCAGAATTCAGTTGGGGTCTCCCATGGGGACCCCGCTACTGGGGCCCTAGTCTGCTGCCTTCTAGGGTGCCCGTTAGCAGGAAGCTGGAATTGGCAGCAGAGCTGGGTGAACCCAGGCGCTCAGATGTGGGATGCAGCCGTCCCCCGTTAGCGTCAGTTGTCCCTGGTGGTAAACTCCGACGCTGTTGGAGGGAAACCAGCGGCTTGCTTTAACGAGGCTCCCAAGCGAGACTGAATACTTAGACCAGAATTCTCCTTTTCAGGATAGCTTGACATGGAAACCACTTAGAAGTTTTAGAAAGAAGTGTTAGACCATGCTTGAGTGAAACACAGAAACTTGTCGAGTGCGCCCCGTGTACGAGCAGGCTGCTTGAGCGGGGAACTCCGAGACATTTTGCTTAACTGAAGATTCGGCAGAGAGACCTCCAGTTCGGTGTTTTTTGAATACGGCTGAAATACGTTGGGTTTCTCGTGTTAGATCTTTGTGGATAGGGATATTGCGATGCCCCAGGCTCACGCTCAGTACGAATTCCCTTCGTACAGTGGTGTAGATCTGAAGAAAGAGTCTGCCCTCCGTTTTTTGCTTCTTGTATTTTCTGGCCCTTTGGCTTTTTCCCTCAGCCTCAAGTGAGATATGCAGTCCAGGGTGGGCGTCTGCCTGGTGGTTAGACCTGGAGAAGCCTGTGTCGGCATCAGAGGCCCTGGGTCAGGGCCCAGGCTGGTTCCTCACTGCAGCTTCCTGCTTGAGTGGACCCTGGGAGGCAGCAGTGGGGACTCTGGTGGGGCCTCTGGCCACCCAAGTGGGAGACCTGCATTAAGTTCCTGGAACCCGGCTTTGGTTGTTTTTTTTTTTTTTTTTAAAGATAGATTTTATTTATTTATTTATTAGAAAGTCAGAGTTACACAGAGGAAAGGCTGAGAGAGAGAGAGGTCTTCCTTCCGTTGGTTCACTCCCCAGTTGGCCGCAACTGCGCCGATCTGGAGCCAGGAGCTTCTTCTGGGTCTCCCATGTGGGTGCAGGGGCTCAAGGACATGGGCCATCTTCCGCTGCTTTCCCAGGCCATAGCAGAGAGCTGGATCAGAAGAGGAGCAGCCGGGACTCGAACCGGTGCCCACATGGGATACCGGCGCTTCAGGCCAGGGCGTTAATCCATTGTGCCACAGCGCCGGGCCCCTAGCTTTAGTTTTACCAGTGGGTAGAAGATACAGCTCTCTGTGTCTTTCAGTTTAAAAACTTAAAATAAATGCATTTTTAAAACTACATGGTCCAGTTGACTGAGAGCCACAGAATAAGCTTCTGCACTGGCGTACATAAAGTTGCATTGGATTTCAAAAGAACAGGATTACAGTGAGCCCTTGTCAGCAACTGAGGTGGTGTTTGATCCAATCCCAGAATGATTCCATCTGAAAGTGCATTATTTTTACTTAACAGAAAAAGGATGGGGGGGGGGCAGGTCTCAGATATAGAAAGCTGACCTTCGTAGCATGATTACCACATGCCATGCTTTGTCTTACATGTTCTGAGACCCAGATTCCGTAATTTTCATGTCACCTGGTAAGGCATGTGCCCTTATCATCTCCACTCTCTAGATGAGAGAATGAAAGCTGGGAGAGGTTGGAGAGCTTTTTTAAGGCCACAAGGTCACACCCACCTCTACCCAACTGCAGAGCCCAACAGTTGCCCTCTGGTGCCAGGCACCTGTGGTGGTCCCCCAGGTGAGACACATGACTGCAGGAAGTCTGAAGAGCCAGGGTCAGCTTCAGCCCGGGCACTAACTGCTGAGTGGCCCCTGGCACTCACATCCACCAAATGAGGGCACTGAATCAAAACCACGGGTTCCCCACCATGACCTTCAGGGCTCAAGGCTCCGTCAGGGAGGTGAGCACCCCTTTATTATCTTTCGAACATTGGGACTCAAGCCTGGGCCTTTGCCCTAGCGGTTAAGATAGATGCTCACATCCCGCAGCAGGGACGAGTGCAGTGGCCAGCTTCTGACTCCAGCTCCCTGCGGCGCAGACCCCATGAGACACGGTGATGGCTCCAGTAACTGCATTCCTGTATTGAGTTTCTGGGTCCTGGGTTCTTCCTGACCCAGTATCAGCCACAGCAGCCATTTGGGGAGCAAGCCAGCTGATGGGAGCTCTGTGTGCATGTGTCTCTGCCTCAAATATATAAAAATTTTAAAAAAATTCTTCCTTGAAAGATTTTCAGTAATATTTTTAAGAATTGAGGTTTCACATAGGATGCTGTTTAGGGGGGAAAGATTTCACTGGTAAAAATGAACTTCATTAGAGCAACGTATTTAAAACAGTGAGCCTAGTCCCTTTCTGGATGCCCTGCGGACCTGATAGACGACGACACTGAAGATTTTGGTCAGACTTGCCTTCTCACCCCGTGGGGCTGCATCTGCAGAGCTCACGGGCAGTATCTCACAGGTGTTTTAACACACCACACGTTCTAGGGATGAGGAGCCGAGCTGGGCTGATGCCGAATTTCACGCAAAGCTGCCGTTGTCTCTCCCTACAGAGAAGCCGGTGCTGCAGAGCAGGCACTCTTTAGAGGGCCCCAGGCCGGCGGAGAAAGCTGAACCCGCGCAGCCGCTGTGGATCACGCTCGCGCTGCAGAAGCAGAAGGGGTTTCGCGAGCAGCAGGCCACCAGGGAGGAGAGGAAGCAAGCCCGCGAGGCCAAGCAGGCGGCAAAGCTCTCCAAAGAAAACGTGAGTAGCCCGTTCCGCTTCCATCTCGCCTTCCTGGGCGGGGTCTCGTCAAGAAGACAAAGTGCTGGGGAGGATGTGGAGGAAAAGGAACCCTTAGACTATGGGTGGGAACGGAACCCGGCACAGCCGTTGTGGAGAACAGGATGGAGGTTCCTCAGGAAACCAACCGCAGAACTGCCGTGTGAGCCAGCCATCCCGCCGTACACCCACGGGGCAAAGCAAGCAGTGCTGAGGCAACAGCCGCGCCCCGGCTGCCTGCAGCACGGTTCACAAAGGCCGCCAGGGAAACACGCTACGTGTCCATCCGCCGATGGGAGCATGGGACTATTCACAGAGGAGTCCTGCTCAGCCACAAAACTACGGCATCCTAGTGTCGGCTGTATCGTGGCTGGACCTGGAGGCCACCATGTTCAGGGAAATAAGCCAAGGACAGAAAGACCAGTACTGCGCGATTTCACTCATGGGGAATCTAAGAACGTTCATCTCTCAGAAGTGATGAGCAGCATGGTGGTCACCAGAGGCTGGGGACAGCAGCCAGGTGAAGGGGAGACAGGAAGGCTGACGACCGTATGCCAAGGTACCGCTTGACAGGAGAAAGACGTTCTGGTGTTCTTGCACCATAGAGGAGCGGGTGAGATCACGTACTTTATGGTCTACTAAAAACGGGAGAGGATGGTCAGTGTTTGCAGTGTGAAGAACTGAGAAATGCCTGAGGTCACAGATTTTCTAGGATTCAGACATTACACACAGTCAGATATTAAAACACAGGGGCTGGCGTCGTGGCAGTGGTTTAGGCCACTGAGATGCTAGTTTGACTCCCGGCTGCTCCACTTCCAATTCAGTTCCCTGCTGATGCGCTGGGGGAAGTGGCAGAAGATGGCCTTAGGCCATTGCCACCTACATGGGAGACCTGGGTGGAGTTCCAGGCTCTTGGCTTTGACTTGGCTCAGCCCCGGCCAGTGTAGCCATTTGGGGAGTGAACCAGTGGGTGGAAGAACAATCTGTTTCTCCTTCTAACTCTGCCTTTAATAAATCTTGAGAGATATGAAGAAGAAAAAAGTATCCCCATAAGTGTACAATTTTCATGTTAAAAACAGAAAAATATTTTGTTAACAGAATCTATTAAAATATTTTAATTATGACCAGCGCCGCAGCTCACTAGGCTAATCCTCTGCCTGTGGCGCTGGTACCCCGGGTTCTAGTCCCGGTTGCTCCTCTTCCAGTCCAGCTCTCTGCTGTGGCCCAGGAAGGCAGTGGAGGATGGCCCAAGTGCTTGGGCCCTGCACCTGCATGGGAGACCAGGAGGAAGCACCTGGCTCCTGGCTTCAGATTGGCGCAGCGTACCAGCTGTAGCAGCCATTTGGGGGGTAAACCAACAGAAGACCTTTCTCTCCCACTGTCTAACTCTGCATGTCAAAAAAAATATCTTAATTACAACTTTTAAAAAGCTCAGGGATGAAGAATACTGCCATCCCTTGTTACCTGCTGGGGATTGGTCTAAGACCCTCAGGTCACAGGCGTGCTACCTGCATGCTGTGCCCACCCCCTATAACCTTTAATCCTCTCTAGGTTCCTTAGTATAATGCTATGTAAACAGTTGTTGATTGTATTATTTAGGGAATACTGACAAGAACAAAATGTATGTTTAGTGCAGTATTTTCAACCTGCAGCTGACAAGTTTGAGCGTGCAGAGTTGGCAGAGACAGAGGTGGAGTGGACTTAGGGCAGAGCAGTAGGTGAGCATCCCCGTGCAGGGAGCAGTCCAGGCAGGAAACCGGACTTGGGTCCCTTACCTGATGTGGCAGAATCCACACAGCCCCGATAGTGGGGTGTGCACGCGCCACAGTTCCACAAGAAACGCGAAGCTCCCTGAGCTGTGGGTTAAGGGGAATCAGCGCCCCCACGTGGTGGGGGCCGGGGTGAGCACGCACTTCTCACGCTGCAGTCCAGCTCCCCCTTGGCGCGTGTCCTAGGGTGCAAGCACGCTGTCCCTGTCTCTGCCCGCCCAGGTCAGTGGCAGCCCGCAGCCTGGAAGCAGCGGCATCAGCAGAGCGGGCTCCCTGCACATGTCCACCACTCCCCCAGATGAGAACAAGCCCGAGACGGCTGTGTCCAGGCTGGAGCGCAGAGAGCAGCTGAAAAAGGCCAGCACGCTCCCCACGTCTGTGACAGGTAGGAGCAGGCCTGCTGGGCCTCCCCTGCAGCCACGGGTTTCTCCCCTGACCCCCAGCACAGCCCCGCACACATGGCCCAGGGCCAGCTGTCTGCCACCACTCACCACTGCAGTACACGCTGGTAAGTGCTTAACTGCTCTGCAGGGAGCAGGGAGACCCCTGATGTCGGGCATTAGCCAGCTTACGAGGAAATCGCCCAGCCTGGCCTGCGGGCAGCTGCTCAGGTGACGTAGGTGCCAGCTGGCAGCATTCCAGGGGACGCTGGACGAGGCAGTGGCCGCCACGTGCCCCTTGCTGCCTGGCATCCCACGGTTAGGCTGATTGCTTCCTGCAGCAAGGTGGAGCCATCCCACAACCTCCCAGCAGTGGGGAGCCGTTTCTCTGCCGAGGGCCATCTGGGTATTTATAACCCAAGCCCTACAGAGTTATCCACTTAAAAATTAGGCCCTGCAGGAAGAGACGTCCCAGTAAGCTTGGGAGAAAGGCTAAAGCGCAGGTCAGGCTCAACGTGGGCTGCACTGTGCTAGGCTCAAAGCCCAGGCTCCAGGAAGGGTGGCACACAGCCTGCACTGAAGGTGGGCCCGTGGGCCCTTTTCTCTCGGATGACAAAGTTAAGGTAATTGTGTGGACTGGTGCTTCTGATAGCGCTGCCTGGAGCTCTGCCCGAGGCTGGCAATGAGCCTTGCTTCTGCGTCACAGTGCAGATGTCCTGTGCTTTCAAACAGCAAGTTTCCAATCACCCATGACTCTCCAGAGTGTTCTAGAACAATGACAGTGACAATTTTTACAGACACATAGGCAGGGTGTTCAAAATGTTCACGGAAAATGTCTTATTCAAAAGCCATGCATGGATTTCAAAGGTTTTTGCACAAAAAAATCAGCAAGTTTTAAACTGAGAGGCAGAGACACACATGCTGAGAGGGCTGCCGTCCACTGCTTCACTCTTCAGTGGCCCACAACCACCCCAGGCCTTAGCTGGGAGCCAGGAATCCAACCCACGTCTCCCCTGCGGCAGGGGCCAACCACTCACCCACTGGAGCGGCACCGCTGCCTCCCAGGGTCTGCATTAGCAGGAAGCTGGAGTCGGGGCTCGAGCTGGGAATCAAATGTGAGCACTGCGATACGGGACGGGAGCTGCTTCAGCACTGGGCTGAACGCCCACCCGAAGCTCACCTCTGAATTCCATGGTTCTGGGGACCTTGAGGAGCCGGTATCTTTCAAAGTTATTTTGTTGAGACGTAAAATGATCCAAAAATTTACAACTCAGTCCCTCCTACAGATTCCCGGGAGGAAAGACAAATGTGAACAAGCCCCCTCCGGCTTCCCCAGGTAGCAGCGGTCCTCCAGGGGCATCCAGCCCACGTGCTAGGGTGTCTCTACCCTGACTTCCTGCTCCCTGGGCCCATAAGCAACCTCAGGGCACAAGACAGATTCACTGCTGAAAAGCCGACAGCCAGAATGCTCCGAAGGGGTCACCCCTTTCTGTTGCTACAGGGTTAACGCCACTCCCAGGGCTCCTGCCTTTAGTTCAGAAGTATTTGCTTTTCTGGCCCCTGGGTTCTTAAGGTTCTGGAAGCCGCAGGAAAGACGGTGACGGGCTGCAGGGGAACTAGCAGAGGTGACGGCGCGAGGGCCGCCCGGGTCTCGGACTCGGGGGTGGAGGCCCCCAGGGCTGCCTTGTGTGGCGGCAGCTTTTTAACCTCACCGGCTTGACCCAAACTGCTGGCTTCGTGGGACTGGCTGGGTGACCAGAGCCGCAAAGCTGACCCTCAGTTCTTAGCGTGCAGCCTCAGCCTTTGGAACCGGAAGTTGGGCTGGGGGCGGGCACGTGGTGGGTGCAGCGCTGAGGTCCCTGCATAGCGCCCCCCCCCATTCCCCATCGCAGTACCTGGGTTCCGGCCTCCTGCCGACACAGACCCCGGGAGGCAGCAGGTGGCGGCCAAGGGACTGGGTCCCTGCCCCCCACGCGCGAGACTTGGGTCGAGTTCCCGGCTGGGACTGGTGCAGTCATCGGGGAGTGAACCAGTAGGCGGGAAGAGCTCCGCTTTCCTAATAAAGCCTTCTAGAAATTTTGAGATGGGAGTCGATGCACCGTGGTTGGGGTCAGTTTGTCGGATGTCAAATGCGGACCAGTCTGACCACCCCCTTCTGGGAAGCGGGGTTGGGGGGCGGGAAGGGAGGCCGAGGGGGTGCGGGGCAGGGGTGCACGTCGGCCCGAGGAACAAGTTCCAGAGCTCGGGGTCTACCGCTCGATGCACCACCGTGAGTAGATTTTAAACGTGCTCACCCAGAAGCGATCACTTCGTGAGGTAACGCGCGGTTGCTGCTCCTCTATGGAGGGATCACCGCAGGGCGCGCCGCGCTGCATTGTGGGCGCTCGCGCTGCATTGTGGGCGCTCGCGCTGCATTGTGGGCGCTCGCGCTGCATTGTGGGCGCTCGCGCTGCATTGTGGGCGCTCGCGCTGCATTGTGGGCGCTCGCGCTGCATTGTGGGCGCTCGCGCTTGCGCAGACGGCAGCGCGCCTGGCGCGGGACTCCCGTCCTGTACGTGGCCTGTCGCTGACTGAATTTCATTCTTCTAAAATGCGGTTCTGACTCGTCCTTTCTCCTTTTCCTTGAATGAACCCAGTGGAGATCTCCGACGCGGCTCCCCCCACACCGCTGGTGAAGGAAGTCACCAAGAGGTTCTCCACCCCTGACGCCACGCCCGCGTCCACGGAGCCGGCCTGGCTGGCCTTGGCCAAGAGGAAAGCCAAGGCCTGGAGCGACTGTCCCCAGATCATCAAGTAAAGCGGGACTCGGCCCCCCGCCGCCCGCCGCGGCTCCGCTCGCGCCCTTTTTATTTATTTTCCCTAGGAGCTGAAGAAACCGGGCTGGGAACTGCAGCATGTGTTAGGGGCTCTAGAGTCACGTTTAGAGACGGAACCGGCGGTGGTCACTCGACGAATGTTTGCACAAGCCGAGGGCCTGGTGCCTTGAGCCCCTCCTGGGTGGCAAGAGAAGAGTCCGTCCGGGGGCTCCCCCCACGCCACGCACAACGCTTCCGTTGCCAACCTTCGCCACGGTCCGATGCTCCGCCCCGAGTCCTTGTCCCCCACTTCGCCGGCCCTGGGCTCGGGAAGGCCCGTGCTCTTGGAGGCAGGGGCTGGGACTCGAGGACCGGCCTGCCCGGCGCCGTGCCCCCGTCCCCCTCGCGGCCGCTCTCCCCACGCGGAGCCGCAGCCCTTCGCACCCTCCTCGAGGGCTCCCGCAGCCTCTGACCCGCGGCTCCCAGGAAGGCGCACTGAGGGTGGCTGCAAGCTCTCGGCCCCTCTCCGGGAACCCACGCCTAAGGTGGGAGGCCCGTCCCAGCCCCTTGGTCCGGTCCTGCGAGGGTGGGCCCGGATCCCCACGGCGAGGGCTGGTGCGAGCCGCGTGTCAGACTGCAGGGCGGGGAGGGGGCGCAGTCACCCAAAGCCGGAAACTTGCTGGAACCGCCCTGCAAACCAGCCATGGTCACGGCCAGGACCAGCCACTGGCTTCACGGTCTCCGAAGATCCCAGCCACAAGGAGCCCTGGAGCTAAGGACTTGAGCGGAAGCTTTGTCTGGACTGTCGTTCGTGCGCAGGATCCAGGGGCAGCAGCAGTTATAACTTAGCGCATTCACCCGGCTACCTTTAAGAACATCGGAGTTGTAAGTGGCCTTGCTGTCATCACACACGAGCACACCAAGGGACCTGGCAGGTTAAAAGCCACACGCGGGTACTGTCCCGGGTTTGCTTTACTGGACACAGAGCCCAGCGGCGCCCTCCTCCCCGCCACTGCTGGCGCTGTGTAGTGCACGGGGTTGGCCGCCTCCGCTTCTTAGATCCTTGCTCCAGTCAGGTGCGTATCCTGTGCCCGGTGCCGAGGGAATGGCGTCCTTTCTCCTCCACAGGAACCCCTCGGCTAGTATCCATTACTGCTCGCTCTGTGCGGCGAGCGTGCCGCCTTCCATCACTTACCTCACAGGACGCAGCAGGGCCCCACGTGGGAAGCGCGTTCATCCTAGCAGCAGCTGCCCCGTGCTGTCTGTTGGACAGCTGCGCTCTGCACGCGGGGCGGAGGGCGCAGCCCCTGGCCCTGCAGACTGTTAGCCAGCTTTGGTCTTCCCTTCGCTGCAGTGGGAAGCACTTCCTGCTGTGCTGCACACTACCCGCAGCGGAGTCCATTTCTCTTGTGTTGGCATTCGGAACTCCAGGATTCCCTCCCCATTTCGCTGAGTGGGACTCTCCGCGCAGAGCCCCACGCACAGTGCTCTGTGGCTCATCACTCCATCCTGTCTGCCCTGGACAGTGTCACTGTGACAGCGGGGAGAGGCGAGGAAGGCGACGGCTCTGTGCTGCCTCAGGCCACGCGGAGCCCGGACAGTGAGGAGCTAGGAGGGTATCCAAGTTCGTGGAGAGCAGAACTGAGGACTTTTTATTTCTGGTGCAAGATATTTTGAAACCCATGCATGCAAGAGATCTTCAAGAGGTTCGTGGAAAATGTGTATTATGAAAAACTGCATGGATTTCAATATTTTTTGCACCAAAACATCTTTCAGTTCCACTTTCCATGACGTTCTGAGGTGCCCCTGTACCTCAGTTCCTAATTTCCCGTCTTTAACAGACAGACTGAGGGGAAGGGCAGGGACAGGACTTCCACCAACTTCTGAAGCGTACATGTTTACCATTTCATTTCAAATTCACCCCAAATTTGCACTAGATACCAATGAAGTGTTATTTTTCTTTTGTCATGTTGCAGCCTTTTCTGAACAACAAACTATGGGGAAATTCTACAAAAACATGAAGTTTTGTTTTTAATGAATAAATTGCTATGTTAAATACACAAGTTTTTTTTTTTTTTTTAATTTTAAACATACACTTCTCCTGGCAAGGTTAGATGATCAACCTCTGTTCATAGACTTACAATAAAACTAAAGTTTTGTTTACTTTTTTAAGTGCAATTGTTTCTTATACAAGCGTTATTACTCCTAAATTACCTGCAAATATAGTCAGTATTCAGTGTCTCGTGACATTTAGTTATTTTAAAGCAGAAACAGTAGCTACAAGTGTCTTGCAATATTTTTACCTACAATAAAATTAAGTAGAAATTTAAATACCTTAGTGTGATTTTAATATTAATGAGATTTGGGTTGTATAAAGTTTTAATGTAAAATGTCCATTATTGAAGGGAAAAGATCTTTCAATAAAAAATATCAACTAGATCTTTGGTGCTGGTGGAATTTTTTGTTTGTTAATTTTGATAATCTATAAGCACTTAGTATGTTTGCATAGCTTTTGATGAACAAAACTTCAAGGAGTTCTAAATGGTATGACATTTTTTTCATGAAGTATTTTGGAGAAAAACCGTGAACAGGTGTAAGTTTAGTCCTAAATCAGAACTGAATGGTGTAGGTCTCAGACAGAGGATCCTGCCACTTGTTGACAGTGTGGTCATGGACCAGTGTCCTGGCCTCAGCCCACAGCCTGATCAGGGCGAAGTGAGGCTGCAAAAAAAAAAAAAAAAAAAAAAAAAAGCTACAGTAATGAGGGCAGGCATTTGCGTGGCAGTCAAGGCGCCACCTGAAATGGCTGCATTCAGTACTCACTTCCAGCTCCTTGGGGACTCAGCCCTGGGAGGCAGCAGCGATGGCTCAAATGACTGGGTTGCTGCCAGCCACATGGGATACCTGGATTGAGTTTCTGGCTCCTGTGTCTGCCTGGCCCAGTCTCCGCCATTGCAGAATTCTGGGGAGTGAACCTGTGGATAGGAGAGCTCTCTATGTATCAATCTGTCTCGCTTTCTCTGCCTCTCAAGTAAATATTTTAAAAAGTGCAATAACCAGGAGAAATACTACATAATGATTTTTTTTTTTATAAATGGAAAAGATTCCATGATGGATAAAAATAAGGGCAAGGTCAGCATTACCGACTTCTCCTTTTGCCTCAGGCTCCAGCGTGGCTCAGCAGGGCGCCCTCCTCCCAGGCCAGCTCAGTAGGATGACAACAGCTCCAAGTGACCAGTATGGACAGGAAAGCCTGGGAAGCACTGATCTAAAAGGTGGTAGAAGATAGGACCTTCTTTTGGTCACCCAGAACCTAGATCTCCCTTCTCTGGGGAACTGTCCAACACATGGGTCTCAGAAGGCTGCCCACCCAACCTCCCACTACACATGAAACATCCAACACGTGCTTTCCTATCCTCCTTGGTGGCCATGGAACAGACAACAGGGAGAAGCTGAACAACGATGGGGGACTAGACAGATGGTGTGGACGCCGGTGGTAGGGAGCAGCATCTTGCTTAAAGGTGTCAGCCAGGCGTCAGGCCTTCCACGGAATGCTGGCTCCTCCTCAGCTGGGTGAAGAATTGCGAAGAGGCCAGAGCTAAATAGCCAGACAGGGAGTGCCACGTAGCAAGCTGAAACTGTAGTGTGTGTGTACTTTGATCTACATCGGCGCCTGTTGTTTACCTGAAAATCCTGTATAAGGAACCTGGTTAGATAATAGGTCCCACTTGAAATACCTTTTGCCCTGAAATCTCAGGATAAGTGAGTGGATGGAGCATTGCTTCGTGGACCGCATTTTAACCCACCAGATGCAGTCTGAGTCCTTCCCCACAGGTGTCTTTAAAACACACAGGGGCCAGTGTTGTGGGTGTGGTGAGTAAAGCCTCTGTGATGCCGGCAGCCCGCGTGCCTGCTGGTTCGAGTCCTGGCTGCTCCACTTCCACCCAGCTCCCTGCTAATGTGCCTGGGAAAACGGAAGATGGCTCAAGTGCTTGGGCCCTGCACCTGCATGGGAGACCAGGAGGAAGCACCTGGCTCCTGGCTTCAGATCGGCACAGCACGCTGGCTGTAACAACCATTTGGGGGATGAACCAACGGAAGGAAGACCTTTCTCTAACTCTGCCTGTCAAAAAAAAAAAAACCTACCACCACCAACAAAACCCACATACATAAACTTGTTCTAATGTGAGTTCTCTAGAGAAACATAACCAACGGATTACACAGGTTAAGTATCCCTCAGCCAAAATACTTAAACCACAGTGTTCCAGATTTTGAAAGTTGTTTTTTGGAATATTTGCATAAAGATTTTTTAAGTAATTCTTTGACTTGGTTTGAAAGACCAAAGCCAGTGCTGTGGCATAGCAGTGCCAACATCCCATTTGGGCACAGGTTCGACCTCGGCGGCTCCTCTTCCAATCCAGCCCTCTGCTATGGCCTTGGAAAGCAACAGAAGATGGCCCAAGTCCTTGGGCCCCTACACTGGTGTGGGAGACCTGGAGGAAGATCCTGGCTCCTGGCTTCGGATCAGCTCAGCCATTTGGGGAGTGAACCAATGGATGGAAGACACCTACCCCTCTCTCTCTCTCTCTCTCTCTCTCTCTCTCTTTCCTCTCTCTGTGTAACATTGACTTTCAAATAAATAAAATAAATCTTAAAAAAAAAAAAAAAAAAGCCAGGAGCTGGGATCTCAGTCTGGGTCTCCCACCTGTGTGGCAGGGAACCACGCCCTTGAACCATCACCTGCTGCTTGCTAGGGTGCACACTGGCAAGAAGGTGGAATCTGGAGTAGGGCTGGGACTCAAGCCTAGACACTAAAAAAAATTTAAGGGCAGAGTCAGAAGTAGAGAGAGACAAGTCTTCTAGCCACTGGTTCACACCCCCAAGTGACTGCAACGGCCAGGGCTGGGCCAATCTAAAGCCAGGAGCCTGGAACTCCACCCGAGTCTCCCACGTGGGTGGCAGGGGCCCAAGCACTTGGGCCATCTTCCACTGCTTTCCCAGGCCATGAGCAGGGAGCTGGATGGGACGTGGAGCAGCCGGGACTCGAACCGGCGCCCATATAGGATCTTGCTGTGTAACACCGGCCCAGAACTGGAACTTTCAGAGCATTTCCAACTTTGGATTTTTGGATTAGGGATGCCTCAACCTGTATGTATACAAGTACACAAAGAGGGCTGGTGCCACAGCTCACTAGGCTAATTCTCTGCCTGCAGTGCTGGTACTCCGGGTTCTAGTCCCGGCTGGGGCGACGGATTCTGTCCCGGTTGCTCCTCTTCCAGTCCAGCTCTCTGCTGTGGCCCAGGAAGGCAGTGGAGGATGGCCCAAGTGCTTGGCCCTGCACCCTCATGGGAGACCAGGAGGAAGCACCTGGCTTCGGATCGGTGCGGCGCTGGCCATGGCGGCCATTTGAGGGGTGAATGAACAGAAGGAAGACCTTTCTCTCCGTCTCACTGCCTGTCAAAAAAAAAGTGCATTAAGAGATTTACACATATGAAATCTGTGGCCTAATGTATTCCAGAGAATCTTTTACAATAGGACACGCAGACGTGAAAACCAAGAGCTCTGCTGTTCCAGGGCAGGAGACATGGATGTCCCAGCAAAAGAAGGGCGAAGTCACCGCTCCTCTTTTTGTCCTATTTCGGATCCTCATCAGATTGGATGCTGGATTTCTTGATTCAGTCTACTGAATGCAAATTCCTCCCAGAAACACCTTCACAGACATGCCGGAAATGTTTTACCACCCATCCGAGCATCCTTTACAGCCTGGCCAAGTTGACACCTAAAATCAACCATCAAATTACTTACAGTGGTGCTGTGTTGTTGTAACGCAAACTCCAACTCTTTCTGTAAGCTCTGGTTGCTCCCATGGGAAGTAAAATATGGCTGTTCTTCAATAAAGTGTAGTAGACAAGTTTCTTAACCAAAATAAATTATTTAATAAGGCTACTCCCACGCTCTAGAATGGCAAAAGGTTTTCAGACATCTCACAGGTATGAACTAGTAGGGACTGTGCTCCGTTATCTGTGACTGGCACCCCGTAAGTCCAGACAGTACACGTAATCGTTTCTGCACCCAATGACGAGCATCGACTCCCAGACCACAGGCGAGGAGAAGACTTCTCCGGGAAGTTCATACACATCCTGCAACTGCCCACTCGCAGAGTCCAGGATCCACAGCTTCCCGTCAGTAGACGCTGCTGCCAGCAACGCTGCACTGCTGCGACTGTGACGACGGAAAGCAAACGGTGTCGCGTACACCCTCGCGGTGGTTTCAAATTTCCATCGGAGGTCACCTCTCATACTGCAGCAGTAGACACAACCGTCATGGGAACCAAAAAATACTTCTTGCTCTGAGGCTGAGGTGCACGGCGACGAGAAGATCGGGCCACTGGCAGAGAACTGCCAAACCTAGAAGGGAACATGAAAGCAAAAGCTCGTCTCATCCAGTTCCAACAGTTCTCCCACAGGTTAAGGCTTTATGAAGGCTCTTAACACAGATCTACCAGATGCGGGCTGTCTGAATGGTAGCTTCACATGGAGTAGACCCTCGCTCTCTGGAGGGGGCCACTGCTGTGGCGTAGCGGGTAAAGCTGCCGCCTGCAGCGCCAGCATCCCATGGACACCGGCTTGTGTCCCAGCTGCTCCACTTCTGATCCAGCTCTCTGCTGTGGCCTGGAAAAGCAGAAGATGGCCCAAGACCTTGGGCCCCTGCACCAGTGTGGGAGACCAGGAGGAAGCCCCTGGCTTTGGATCAGCGTAGCTCCAGCCATTGCAGCCATCTGGGGAGCGAACCAGGGGATGGATGACCTCTTTCTGCCTCTGCCTCTCGGTAACTCTGCCTTTCAAATAAATAAGTCCTTAAAAAGCAGTGCTGTTGTTACACAACTCACCACTATGCTTATTACTATCATGAAGGAAAATTAATTCTAAACCCATTCAAAGAGTTATCAACAAGTTCAGAGACAGTGCAGTTTTATCTTTGAACTCTGAGTTTGCAATCTGTCTTCTTAAAAACTATTATTCTATTCTCCAAATGGGAGAAGGAAGTAACTGAGCCAAAAGGGAAAGTTTGGAAAGTATAATCTAAATTATAGCCTTAAAAAGCTGCAAGTTGTAGGTCTGCCTTGTGGATATACACACTATTTCTTACTTCACAGCTATTCCAGACAAACTTGGTGTAGACATACATTTAATAAAGATCCTGTTTGAAACGTAAAGAGCAGTGAGCATGGTCATAAAATAGAATTTATAACATCAAATTCTCCCTGAGTTGGTCAAAATCACTTTTTTTTTATGGCTCACCCAAAAACAGAATTAGGATTTGCCTCCTCTTACTTCTCCAAAACCTAAAGGGTAGGATACATTCCATCTGCTTCGTAAGTAAAAACACTCAGCATGATCACACACTTCACTGCAGGACAGGCATTTGGTGTAGCAGCCAAGACTCTGCTCACGTGTCCTGTGTGGGCGGTGTCCGAGTTTGAGTCCCGACTACAACGTGGGAGGCAGCAGGTAAGGGCTCGAGGACTTGGGTCCCTGCCACCCACATACAGTCAAGCTGGCCCAACCTTGGCTTGCCACAGGAGTTTGGGCGGTGAATCAGCAGATAGAAGATCTGTTTCTCTTTCAAGTAAAGTTAAAAAAAAAAAACAACTTTTTAGCCAGGAGGCAGGCACTGTGGTACAGCAGGACAAGCGGACTCCTAGCCCAGGCCTTAGGACCCTGCCACCCACGGGGAAGACCCGCGTGGAGTTCTTGGCTCCCGGCTTCAGCCTGGCCCTGCCCTGGCTACTGCAGGCATTTAGGAAATGAACAGCAGCAGCAGACCAATATCCCCATCTCGTGCTGTGTGTGTCTTTCAAATAATAACTTTGAAAAGTCAGCCAGCATCTTTAAAGGATTTCATCAAAGTAGCTGTCCGAACAAAAGCAGCTGTGAGCACTTGCAGGCGGGCGCTCGACGAGAAGCGTCCAGAGCCCCGCTAGCCATCAGTGGGCCGACTTCCGGGGCAGCAGGGGACTCCCAGGTGCACAAAGTAATCCAAGTCACACACACACAGAAGCTGAGCCTAAATGACAGTCCACGATAGGTATTTAAGAAGGGGAGCTCAAGTTCCCAACGAGATGTGACACGTGCAGCCGCCAGGGAGCCCCCACTGGCCGTGGAGCAGGGGCACGGGCCGGGCCCTGCACGCAATAAAGCTGCGCTGCACCAGAGATTCTGGTTTTCTTTGATGAGCAGGGGTTTCTTTAAACTTTTGTACCCTTACTAGAGCCTAAAACTGCCTAAAACCTGGTAAGTGCTAAACCTGGGGGACATGTCCAAAGCAGCCCAACAGCGTTCGAGTCGCAGGCCTTCCAGCCTGCCATCCATCCCCTCCTTCAGAACGGAAGCTCGCGGCTGGAGCAGGCGCTTGGCAGCGACTGGAGCACGATGCCGGAGTCGCCGCCACTGCGCCCTCAGCCGCCTTTACCTGCTCGCCGGCGTGGGTGAAGCAGAGCAGACGCCCGTCCACACAGCCAATGCAGACGTACTGCAGGCAGCAGCGGGGAGAAGAGAAGAGAGGTTTTCCGCAGCAGCGCTTCCAGAGTGTGTTCCCAGTGGCCTGCCGAGACAAAAGGCACCACGGCACTTAGCACTGCGCTCTTCAATCCCCTTTATAGGGCGTACTCCCGAGTCTCCCAGAGGCAGAGCTGAAACGTCAGAGAACGCCACAGTGGTGTACCGACAGGGCCAGCGAGGACGGCGCCTGGACACAGGCCACAGGACTCAGTGCCTTCTAGCAGAGCCAGGAACTAACTGGCAATAAAACCAGCCAGGACCTATCCTCAGGGTAGACACCGAGTTCTTAGACAAATTTCTGCCCCAAAATTTAAATGATAGAACACACAGCCAGGGAAATATTTTTCTCATTCTTTCTAAACCTCACATCAATTTAAGATTTTATTTATTTATTTGAGAGGTAAAGTTACAGACAGTGAGAGGGAGAAAGAGAAAGGTCTTCCGTCCATTGGTTCACTCCCCAAATGGCCGCAATGGCTGGAGCCGCACCTATCTGAGGCCAGGAGCCAGGTCTCCCATGTGGTTACAGGAACCCAAGGACCCGGGCCATCTTCTGCTTTCCCAGGCCACAGCACAGAGCTGGACTGGAAGTGGAGCAGCCAGGACTTGAACTGGTGCCCACATGGGATCAGCGCTACAGGTGGCGGCTTTACCTGCTACACCACAGCACCGGCCCCATGTCAATCATTTTAATGAATTTTGGGCTGGCATTGTGGTATTCACACCACCATCCCACATGGGTGCCAGTTTGTGTCCTGCCTGCTGCACTTTCAATCCAGCTTCTTGCCAATGGCCTGGGAAAGCAGCAAAAAGATGGCCTAAGTGTTTGGGCCCCTGCACCCATGTGAGAGACCTAAAGGAAGCTCCTGGCTTTGGCCTGGCCCAGCCCTGGCCATTGCAGCTATTTGGGGTGTGAACCAGCTGATGGAAGCTCTCTGGAATTTTGAATTTCAGATAAGCAAATTTTTTAAAAAAAGATTTGTGGTTCAGGGATATGTGGATTATAAAAATTACTCAAACCTTCAGAATTCAAAACAAAAATATTAAAGGCAATAAAATCAGTAGGTATCATTTTATACCTACAGGATTTACAGCCAACAAGTGTCCTCCCAGTGTAGCAAAATACACGTGATGTGGCAGCAGGCTCAAGCAGGGAGAGGAAAAGACGGCGCCTCCACAATTCAACTTCCAGACACACTTCCTCTTCTGCAAACAGGAAAAGCAAGTTAGGTTTTTGCTGGTAGTTAATTAACCCATTTATCCTATCCTTCCCTGAGTTAGATCTATTTGGTTAACGCAAATTTTTATCTTTAGTGTAAAATGCACACCTGTTGTGCAGAGTTGGGTTAGAATATGATAAAGGAGGTTGGTCCAGTGGCGTAGAAGGTTAAGCCTCTGCCTGCAGCAGCGGCATCTCATATGGGCACCCATTTGAGACCCGGCTGCTCCACTTCCGATCCAGCTCCCTACTAGTCTGCCCGGGAAAGAAGTGGAAGATGGCTCAAGTGCTCGGGCCTGTGCCACCCACATGGGAGAACCCTCTGAAACTCCTGGCTTCAGCCTGGTCCAGTCCCAGCTGTTGGGGCCACCTGGGGAGTTAACCAGTAGATGGAGGATCTGTGTCTCCCTCTCTAACTCTGCCTTTCAAATAAAAAAAAAAAAAATCTTAAAGAAAAATGGAGGACAGCCACTGTGAACATGTTAGCATCTCTCTTAATCCTGTTGGCATGTCTGTGTGCATGTATATATTTATACACACAGTTTAACAGGGCGCAGCTCATTCTAAACATACAATCATGTATCATGGATTGCTTGTTTTCTAAAACTACTTAATCTTATTGCAGAATATCCCATTATGAACATAAAGCATGGCCTCCACTTCATCACAGAACATGACATGGAGCACATCTGTTGGTATTACAGATGACTTACAAGTAGACACCTTGGTGTACGTATTGTCCACAGGTCTGATAATCTTACCAGGCTAGGTTCCTAGAAAGCGTGTCACTGGATCAAAGGACAGGAAATTGTTTATGGCCGAACCATTCTCCCTGGTGGCCTCAGCAGTTACCACCCGCCAGTACTCTCATTAGCACTTCTGCTACGGTGGCAGGATATTCTCTAATCAATGCCACTGTTTCTGTCAGATCTTAGTTTGCAGTCCTTTGACTTTTAAAAGGTATGAAACATTTATATGCATTTACCACCTGTTTCTCTCCGGGATCCTGTGTGTTCATTTCCCCTATTTTTCTAAGTCTTTATATTTTTATTATTAATTTGAATTTTGCTCTTTATTTTCATTTATACATAAAAATGAGATTTGATTCTTTCAACTTTCAAAATTTTTCCAATTTTTATGTTTTTTAAAAACTTAGGTAATAAAGCCTTAAAATATCTCATTAATATCTCCTGATTTATTTTTTTCTATTGTCAGCACAGTTCTAAGCTCTTTACATTTCAGGGTTGAGTAGCAAATTTACCGTGGTAACTTTGGAAAGGAAGCTGAAAATGTCTTAAGCTTTTAAGAATTAACCCTTTATTCTCTCCAACACACAATGCTAAACTCGGGAATAGTCAACAGCTGCTCCGAGTCTCCATGGCACCTGCCAGGGTCCCTCTCTTCTGCGCTCACGATGTGAGGCTGACGAGGTGAGTTCTTACGTAAATATCTACAGCATACGCATGCTGGTCATGTGAGCCAATGTAGAGGAGTCCTGTGGACGGATCCACGGCTGCAGAGCTTTTGACAGCATCCCCAGTAGCAAACGTCCAGTATTTTTCTCCACTATTACTTTCCAGAACATAAACCAACCCGTCGTAACAGCCTGGAAGGGAAAAAACACGGGAGAGAAGACTTGGGAATCCCACTGGCAAACAATCCATGAGCTTAAACCATGGCATACTCGATGGTCTTCAAATTTGCCCATGTTTAGCTCACCTGGGACAGTAGTCACTTGTGCAAGGTTCCCAGTTAGTGGTTACAGCTCCTTTTAGAAAGCGCTGTAAAGTACTACTGCCAAGAAAACAATGGTGCCTGCTGTGGCCGAGAGAGGCTTTGACCGTCCTGGGCTCCGGTTTCCCAAGGGGGTCCCTGGGCAGTCAGGGGGTGATGCTGAGCCTCAGGTTACTCTCCTGCAGGACGGACTCAACTACTTCACACGTCCTGTGACCTTGAATGCCCAGCGCATGGGAAGTGTCCAGGAAACACCAACACCGCTGGTCAGCAACGTCCCTTCAGCAGTTACCATGTGTTAGGGGCCACTGTTAACTCACATGTCCTCACAGCAAGTCAGTGCTGTTATAAACAACTGCATTTTATAGATGAGAACACTGAAGCGCACGGGTTTACCAGGGCCAGCCTACACAGCTAAGACGTGGCAGAGTCAGAATCTGAATCTAAGAGGGCGCACTCTAGAGCACGTGCTCTCAACCACACGAAACTGCCTTTCCCAAACTGCTGCTACGGACAGGACAACTCAGCTGCGGAGGGGCATCCGGGGACCCACCTCCCACACTAGAGAATGTTTGGGTTGCGTCCCGATTCTGCGCCCAACTCCAGCTTCTCACAAAGGCAGACCTTGAGAGACAGTAGCCAACAGCTCAAGTAGCTGGGTCCCTGCCACTCATAGATGTGAGCTGGGTTCCCGGCCCACAGCTTTGGCTTTTGTGAGCTTTGGGGAGGGAGCCATGATGACAGCTCTCCGTCGCTCCCTGCCTCTCAAAAATAAACTCAGCTGGCTCTGCTGTGGCCCAGGAAGGCAGTGGAGGATGGCCCAAGTGCTTGGGCCCTGCACCCGCATGGGAGATCTGGAGGAAGCATCTGGCTCCTGGCTTCAGATTGGCACAGCACACCAGCTGTTGCGGCCATTTGGGGGGTGAACCAACGGAAGGAAGACCTTTCTCTCTGTCTTTCTAACTCTGCCTGTCAAAAAAAACTCAGCTGGAAGCAGGAGGAGTCAAAATCCACAAAGTGGAGATCACGGAAGTGCGTGTCAATCAGAGGAAGCAGAATTTGGGGACAGCAATTTAGGGCAATTTCACTGGTCCCCACTCTAAGTGGCTCCATCACCCACGGCGTTTGCCACTGTGGCTCACTTGAGGTCCAACTCCCCAGATACTCTGTGCTGTGCTTTTCCTGCCAGTTACTACTTGGCAGCAAGACCACAGCGACCTGCTTAGCGGCAGCAGAGTCAATGCCATAAAAAGTGCAGTATCCTAGGACCAGCTGTGCAAGGAAGACTTCAGGTTAGTCCTATTCCAAAAGAAAATACAGGAGAAAATCTTGATTTCATAGATATCATAAAACACACACACACACACACCACCAACAACAGCAACAACAACAACAGCAACAAAAACACAACACGGTTCTCTTCAAAAGACACTATGTTAAGAGAATGGAAAAACAATCCACAGCCTGAGAGAAAACACATGCAAAACCCAAGTCTGATAAAGGACTTACACTGGACGTAAAGTAGAGAAAAACATTCTGAGGCTCACGGTCCAAAAAGCTCTGACCAGATTCCATCAGCACATAAAGTGAACCCTCACATGGCCGGGGGAGGAAAAACAAGAGTGGGATCGGGGCAAGACCTCACACTAGGACCCCTCCGTCCCTACAAAAGTCACCTGCACCTTAAAGAGACAGAGTGGTGACCAGCAGCTAACATTTACTCAGCACTTAATCTATGCCTGCCCATGTACTACAGGATCCGTAGGCAATTATTGCATTTAATCCCCTAAAGCTTTATGGCAGTTTTAAAGCATGTCCACAAATTCTGCGACACTCTTCCTTTCCTACGTACAGCCTAATTCTTGTCCCCTTGAGTGTTGGCTGGACTTAGTGGTACACCTGCAGTGAATAAAACAAAAATGACAAATACAACTTGAGCATCCCTCATCTGAACTCTGAAATAGTCCAAAATCTGAAACCCCGAGGGCCAACAAAAAACGGCACTAGTGGAAAATTCCACATCTGACTTCATGTGACAGCTCAGTCAAAACACAGGCGCACAAAAGTACTGTATAAAATTATCGGTCAGGGTCTGTGTGTGTAAGGTGTGTAGGAGACAGAAGTGAATTTCTTGTTTTAAATTTTTTTTTTTTTTTTTTTTTTTTGGGACAGGCAGAGTGGACAGTAAGAGAGAGAGACAGAGCGAAAGGTCTTCCTTTTGCCGTTCGTTGGTTCACCCTCCAATGGCCGCTGCGGCCGGCGCACCGCGCTGATCCGATGGCAGGAGCCAGGTACTTATCCTGGTCTCCCATCTGGTGCAGGGCCCAAGCACTTGGGCCATCCTCCACTGCACTCCCTGGCCACAGCAGAGAGCTGGCCTGGAAGAGGGGCAACCGGGACAGAATCCGGCGCCCCGACCGGGACTAGAACCCGGTGTGCCGGCGCCACAAGGCGGAAGATTAGCCTAGTGAGCCGCGGCGCTGGCCAGAAGTGAATTTCATATAGAAGTGACACCATCTAAGATATCTCATTTTTTATATATATGCCAATATTCCAAAATCTGAGCAAAATAAAATCCAGAACACTTTTCTGGTGAAATATTTTGGATAAGGGCTACTCAACCAGTGCACAATTTTGGAGACTGGGCTGTAGAAGGTACTACGTTCCTCCTCCTCTCACATCACCCACTACAGAGAGGGTCCTGTGACGAGAAACTGAAGCTTCCACCAGGACCAGCAAAGAACCAAGGCCTCTGCTGCCAGCCCCGTGAATGACAGGAACGCCCTGGAGACGGACTGCCCAGGCCACGCCCAGCCCTCAGATGGCTGCAGCCACAGGCGGGAACCTGCGCCAGCAAAGCTGCTCCTGCATTCCTGACCCGAAGGGATAATGACCAAGAGCTAATGTTTGCTGCTCTAGGTCATTAAGAGGCTCAGCAATGTGTCAAAGGTCACAGAGCTTAATGCAGCCTCTGAGCTGGGATCAAAGCCAGGGGCTGGGAGCCCAGGGCCCACACTGAGAACCAGAGTTACTCCTAGACAGCAACCAAACCCATGGTACATAGGTTTGTTACATTTAACTTGGTCCTACCAGCATTATCACATGCTAATTCAGTTTATAAGTTTCAAATTCAGAAAGTTAGCCATGGGGCCAGGGTTGTGGTGTAGTGTTGCCATCTATAGTGGTGTACAGTTGCCATCTGTAGTGCCAACACCCAATAAGGGGGCTGATCCAAATCCTGGCTGCTCCACTTCCGATCCAATTCCCTGCTAATGTGCCTGGGAAAACAGTAAAAGATGACCCAAGTGCTTGGGCCCCTGCACCCTCATGGGAGACCCAGATTAAGCTCCTGGCTTGCAGCCTGGTCATTTGGGGAATGAACCAGTGATGGAAGATCTCTCTGCCTCATCCCCTCTGTAACTCTGCCTTTCAAATAAATATTAAAAGAAAAAAAAAAAACTTACCCACTATAACAAAGTTTCCACACTTAGACACGCACGCCGAGGATTCGATTCGATCTCCTAGAACCTGTTCCCACTTCACCTTCCCGGAGTGAAGGTCCAGTGCCTTCATTCTACAGGAATGGGAGCCAATGTACACGGTCGCGGGTGACCCAGGAGCGGCTGCGATCACAACCAGAGGCGACGCGTCCACACACTTGCCCGTGTCGGCCCTCCACCTCACAGGCAGCTCCGCCTTCTCCGCCCCTCGCACAGGCTGCCCTTCTCCAGAAACACCTGCGGCACAGGACGCATCTCTGGGCGTCTCACCTAGAGCTGGGGGGTCTGAGCTCTTCAACGTCTGAGCGTGAGTCTGAGAAACTGACTCGTAACAGGCTGAAGGGCAAGGCCCTCGCTCCGGGACAGACCCGGCCGAGCTCAGACACAGAACCTGCCTCCCTCGGCTCAGAGCCATGCAGGCAGCGCCCGGGTCACGGCCGTCGGAAGGCGAGGCGCACTGCGGACGCGGAGGCTCTCCAGAGCCTTCCTCCAGGTCCCGGTCGCGGAGCTTCCTTTTTGGGGTGCAGCTCTTGCTGAGTGCCGCCAGGTCCTCATCGGGAAACACTGCTTGCAGGACGTGATGGTAAATCTCCAAAATGGACCCGCTGAGGATGACTTCCAGTAGCCCAGGCACCGGGGCCCCAACGAGTTGTTCAAGCTCACTGAGGAGCCAGATGGACTTCAGGGAGTCGCCTCCACTACTTAAGAAGCGTGACTCGTCAGGAACCCGCAAAAGATCTTCCGAGACGCTCAGAACAGACTGCAGAGGACAGAGGGAGAAACAAGGTGAATAAAATGCCTACCACCAAAATACATCAACATTCACCAGTAACACAGAGGACAGCACCTACAATAGGAACTTAAGGAAATTTTTTTTCTACTAAAGATTTATTTGGAAGTCAGAGTTACGTAGAGAAAGGAGAGGCAGAGACAGAGAGAGAGATCTTCCATCCACTGGTTTATTCCCTAATTGGCAGCAACGGCCAGAGCTGCACCGATCCAAAGTTAGGAGCTTCTTCCGGGTCTCCCACACAGGTGCAGGGGCCCAAGGACCTGGGCCATCTTCTATTGCTTTCCAAGGTCATAGTAGAGAGCTAGATCGGAAATGGAGCAGCCAGGACTTGAACTGGTACCCATATGGGATCCTGGCACTGCAGGTGGTGACTTTACCCACTACGCCACAGCGCTAGCCTCTAATAGTTTTAATAACTAAAGGAGGCCGGGGCTGGAGTTGTAGCATAAATTTAGACACTGCCAGCAACACCAGTATCCCATATGGGCACTGGTTCAAGTACTGGCTGCTCCACTTCCTATCCAGCTCCCTGCTAATGTGCCTGGGAAAGCAGGGGGAAATGGCCCATGTGCTTGGGCCCCTGCACCCACATGGGAGACCCAAAAGAAGTTCCTGGCTTTGGCCTGGCCCAGCTCTGGCTGTAGCAGCCATTTAGGGAATGAACTAGAGGATGGAAGAGTTTTTTTCTCCTCTCTCTCTCTCCCTCTTGCCCCATAACTCTGCCTTTCAAATAGATAAAACAAATCTTAAGAAATTAAATAAAAGAGGCTACTTTGCTACCAATTTGTCATGAACTTTAAAACTGCAAAATACATTTTACTTTAGAAAACTTTTCCTACCCATAAAACAGGGAATGGAGTATAAAAATCTGATTTACTTAGCGGCGCCGGCACACCGGGTTCTAGTCCCGGTCGGGGCGCCGGATTCTGTCCCGGTTGCCCCTCTTCCAGGCCAGCCCTCTGCTGTGGCCAGGGAGTGCAGTGGAGGATGGCCCAGGTGCTTGGGCCCTGCACCCCATGGGAGACCAGGAAAAGCACCTGGCTCCTGGCTCCTGCCATCGGATCAGCGCGGTGCGCCGGCTGCAGCGGCGGCCATTGGAGGGTGAACCAACGGCAAAAGGAAGACCTTTCTCTCTGTCTCTCTCTCTCACTGTCCACTCTGCCTGTCAAAAAAAATAAATAAATAAATAAATAAATAAATAAAAATCTGATTTACTGAAGATCACAAAACACTAACAGCTGACATTTCCATAATATAGGAGCAATGTGTATCTTCATCTGCTTCATATAAACCAAAATTATTTTCTAGGAACCTGAAAAATGCAGTGGGTAAGACTTTCACCTAGACAGATTGTTTTAAAAAATAGCTCTCTACAGAGGCTGGTGTTGTGGTGCAGTGGGTTAAGCCACCGCCTGCAATGCCAGCATCCCATGTGGGTACCAGTTCAAGTCCCAGCTGCTCTACTGCCAATCCAGCTCCCTACTAATGTGTCTGGGAAAGCAATGGAAAACGGCCCAAGTACATAGGCCCATGCACCTCATGGGAGACCCAGACGGAGTTCTGGGCTAGCTATAGCCTGGCACAGTCTTGACTGTTGAAAGCACTTGGGGAGCGAACCAGCAGACAAAAAAGAACTCCTTGCCTTAAAACAAAAACCACACTGTATCTAAGAAAATGGTTGGCCAACAAGATTTTACACCTCTATAGTTACTCTTAAGTGGAAACACATATGCTGTTACTGAAAGTTCTGGAATAATGATGTAAGTCTATAACCGACTGTGGGATAACACGGTTTGGCCTTTTCTATAAGAGCTAGTGGTGTGCAGTGAAACTCTTGTCAGAAAGGAGAGAAAAGTTATGTTGGGGCCGGTGCCGTGGCATAGCAGGCAAAGCTACCACCTACAATACGGACATCCTCCATGGTCACCAATTTGAGACCCAGCTGCTGCACTTCTGATCCAGCTCCCTGTTAATGTGTCTGGGAAAGCAGCAGAAAATGGCCTAAGTGCTTGGGTCCCTGCACCCACATGGGAGACCTGGATGAAGCTGCTGGCTCCTGGCTTCGGCCTGGCCCAGCCCTGGTCGTTGTGGCCATTTGGGGAGTCAAGCAGTGGATGAAAGATCGGTCTCTCCTTCTCTAACTCTGCCTCTCAAATAAATAAGTAAATCTTAAGAAAAAAAAAAAGTTATGTCATTTCCAATCCACTTCTTTGTGGAGAGCTTAATCTAATCTCACAGTGGAAAACCTTTATTTTATACAAATTGTGTAAATGAAGCTATTCTACCTACTATCTAGTAGACAGTAGTAACATTCTTTAGAAAAAAATTTTAGCTGGCGCTGCGGCTCACTAGGCTAATCCTCTGCCTTGTGGCACCGGCACACCGGGTTCTAGTCCCGGTCGGGGCGCCGGATTCTGTCCCGGTTGCCCCTCTTCCAGGCCAGCTCTCTGCTGTGGCCAGGGAGTGCAGTGGAGGATGGCCCAAGTGCTTGGGCCCTGCACCCCATGGGAGACCAGGATAAGTACCTGGCTCCTGCCATCGGATCAGCGCGGTGCGCCGGCCGCAGTGTGCCGGCCGCGGAGGCCATTGGAGAGAGAACCAACGGCAAAGGAAGACCTTTCTCTGTTTCTCTCTTTCACTGTCCACTCTGTCAAAAAATAAAAAAATTAAAAAAATTTAAGATTTTATTTATTTTATTTGAGAGGTAGAGTTACAGACAGTGAGAGGGAGAAACAGAGAAAGGTCTTCCTTCCTTTGGTTCAATCCCAAATGGCTGCAACAGTCGGAGCTGTGCTGATCCAAAGCCAGGAGCTTCTCCCACATGGGTGCAGGGGCCAAGGACTTGGGCCATCTTCTACAGCTTTCCCAGGCCATAGCAGAGAGCTGGATTTGAAGAGGAGCAGCTGGGAATAGAACAGGCACCAAAAATGGGATGCCAGCGCCATGTTATCCCACAGTCGGTTATAGACTTACAGGCAGAGAATTAACCTACGGAGCTGGCCCCTCTTTAGGAAATTTTATTAGGCATATTAGGATGCTATCAATCTTCAAAATGAACTTTTAAATTTTAAAAGACTTATTTACATATTAGAGTTACAGACAGAGAGGGAGAGACAGAAAGGTTTTCCACCTGATGGTTAACTCCCCAAATGGCCACAATGGCTGGAGCTGACAGAAGCCAGGAGCTCCTTCCAGGTCTCCCACACAGATGCAGGCGCCAAGCACTTGGGACATCTTCCACTCCTTTCCCAGGCCATATGCAGAGAGCTGGGTCAGAAGAGGAGCAGCCAGGATACAAACCAGTGCCCATAATGGATGTGGCGCTGCAGGCAGATGCTTTACCTACAACAACCCAGCCCAGGCCCCTAAAATGAACTCTTGAGAATAAATTTGTACTGTAAAAAGTGTACCTTCCACAAACACTGTAATTTTTCCCAAAGATCTTCTTTTCCACTGAGTTTATTCTTAGGCTTCAAGTTTACGTAGTTTAAATATATCTTGTTTAACTCAGAAACATCAACTTTGCCTTCATATAAAAGAGAAATAACAAATGTTTTTAAGTAACATTTTGAAATTTCACCTCAGAGCCTCTGTATTTCATTAGTGACGGACACTGTGCATTGTAAAGCTCAGAAATCCCATGAAGAGTCTGTCGTCGATGCTGAAGAAAGTAACTGTGATGCTACCAAGAATGGAATAAGCAGAGGCTGGTGTAGTGGTGCAGCAGGTTAAGCTTCCACTGTGACACCAGCACCCCACACGAGAGTGCTGGTTTAAGTCCCAGCTGCTCTGTCCTATCTAGCGTCCTCCTAATGCACCTGGGAGAGCAGTGGAACGATGGCCCCCGCGCTTGGGCCTCTGCCACCCACCCAGAGACCAGGGTGGAGTTCCAGGCTCCTGGCTTCAGCCTGGCTGTGGCCATCTGGGGAGTAAACCAGCGGTGGAAGCTCTCTCTCCTGTCCTATCACCCTGCCTTTCAGATGAATGAATTAATCTTAAAGATGCCATTAACATTCATGTAACTTAGAGAAGGGGTACCGCTGACAAAGGAATGACTGCATGTGAAGTACACAGCAAGACAGCCGAAATTAGGAAGGCCGCCTACGGCGAGCAGGCGCAGGCGTCCATTCTGACGTCAGTCCTGGCCAGGACTTCCACTCTCCCACCGTAAGGCTTCGTTTCCTGTGCCAACAGGATGGGAGGGAGGGAGGGAGGGCGTCCAGATTAGACACGGGTTTCTGGGATGGCAGCGCAGGTAAGATCAGCATATGAACTGGGGCCCTGCTCTGTGGGGCTGGCATCCACAGGGCTTAAAGAGAACAAAAGATCATGAAGACAAAATTCACCTCTTCTACTCACTGCTTGGGCTGGGACATCTCTCCTCCTCTGCCCTGTCCTCTGGGGTTCACATCAGCAAGGCCCGGGTGCTCAGGCCCCTGCCTCACACCGATTCACACCAGCAGCCTCCCTGGGCCCCCAGCGTGCTCACACCGTGGGACTTCAGTCTCCACAGGTGCACAAGCCATTTCTACTAAACTTCTGCCATCCGTACAGTGGGTCTCTTTGGAGAGCCCTGAGACAACCCCCACCTGGCAAGGTGATCTGGGTGGAGGCGGGGGGGGAATCACGTCATCCTTTTAAGGCTTAGATTCTTCATCTGCCAATGCGAACACGAGCACCCACTCACACACTTTTCTGAAGAGAAATCGAGTCCATCTTACAAAGCACACAGCACAGGACACGGGGTCTGCCACAATCAATGCCAGCATCACTCACAACGAGGATGCACGTGACCATCGCCCCAGCTCGGAGCAGCGTCGGCGCTGTCTGGCACCGAAACCTGCCTGCTTCAGGCGACTTTACCGTGAGACGTGAAGGGCAGCGAGCCAATCGACACGAGCTCATCCGGGACGGCGTGACTTGGAAGACGCTGCTGCAGTTCTTTAAAGATGCGCTCCTTCAGCAAAGCATCCTTGGACACCACGAAGAGAATCAGTTTTTCCTGATTGTACCACGTAACCGCACAAGACTCCACCTGCTGAAGCTCTTCAGCAGCCTAAGAGAGAGGATACAACTTACTGATGAGAACGTTTAAAAACGAACTTTATGAAAGCTCAAATTTATTATGGCACTTTCAAATCGATACAGTTGAATTTGGAATATACCAGAATTTCAAAAAATTACTCGCTACTCTTACTAACACGCAAAGTTCTTAACATTAAAAAAAAAAAAAAAAATAGAGCCTGAAGCAAAGTAAACCCAGTTTCTTTTCATGGATATCAAAATCCATTTTGTCACTTATTTAAAATACAACCAGGGTGGGCATTTGGCCTAGTGGCTCAGATGGCCACATCCCACACTGGAGCGCCTCTGTTCGACTCCCAACTCTGGCTCCCAATTCCAGCTTCCTGCAAATGCAGACCTCAGTAGGCAGCTATGATGGTTCATGTAACTGGGCTTCTGCCACCCACATGGGAGATCTGGACAGAGCTGCCAGTCCAGTCTCAGCCATTGTGGGCATCTGGGAGTTAACTAGTGAATGAAAGCACTCTCTACTTCTCAAATAATTAAAGGGAAAAATCTCCTGATACTAGGAATAAGGAAGGCACCAAATTACTTGTGCTTTTAATTGTAATTCATCACTAATAAAAAGTCCTAGGTAATTAAGACTAATAAAATATCCTGGCACAGAACATTGGTGGTAGCAGCCTCTTATCAATACATGTATTAACAGATATTGAATACTTAAGTAGTTCTACCTGTTGTACAAGTTCAATGTTAAGACGTTTGCCATGACGTTTGATCTGACCATCCTTTCGTCCCAAGAAAAATATCTCTCCATCTTTCACAGTCACAAAGTCACCTGTGGCTCTCATTGTGCCAAGTGGTACTGTCATTTCATCATCAAGAAGACACACCCTGTTTCTGCCACCTTCCCAAGACACAAACATGGATATCGTGGGAAATAAATTAAAACTACTAAATCAAGAACATCTCCAACAGCTATTACTAAACTTTAAATTTCAAGTATTTATTTTAAAAAGGGGACTTACTGTTATCTCATAAAATCATATACAAACTTATAGTTTCTAAATTTTTTTTAGAGTAATAGACATTGTTATCTAAAATAATTATGGTAATTTCTTAGGTGTTTCTTGACGAGGAGAATGAGACTAAATTAAAAGCAGGGGGCGAGTGTCTGACCGCGGTTAAGGCGCCGCTCTGGAGCCCATATCTGGATGTAAGTCCTAGCTGTGCTCCTATTCCAGCTTCCTGCTAGTGTACACCCTGGAGGACAACAGGTGCTGGTGCCAGTAGCTGGGTCCCGCCACTCCCACAGAGACCTGGACTGGGCTCCTGCTCCCAGCTCCAGCCAACCCCAGTTCCTGGCTGTTGCTGGCATTTGGGGAGTGAACCAGAGGATGGGAGATTCATATTTTCTTTCTAACAAATAAGTAACACAATTTTTAAAAAGAGAAAAGTTATCACTGAAAAGCATACTAGACATAAGAAAAGTCGGGGAAAAGTTTTCTTCCTTTAAAAAAAATATTTCCCCCAATCAGCAAATATAAAACAACCTAAAAATACTTGGCCATCTCCTTCCTGAACTGTGAGACCACTGGCGTCTCTGACTTCGACCACTGTTCCCAGCAGTGGCAGTCCCAGCGGCACAGGCAATTCCCATCTGAAAAACAGCACAAAGCAGATGCAGTTTCTCACGTGAGCAGACTATCTCCCAATGTGTTTAATCTCACTGCATCAAATAAAGAATAAAAGGTTGTCATGCTATTTTTCAAAGCCTCCCAAGAGGAAAAGGACAGGTAGAAAGGTTAGCATCTATGTTATTCATTACTGCTTTGTCACAAAGTTCCAGCCGGGTCTCATGACCAGTAACAATAAAGGTTCTGGATTCTGACCTAAAATACCAGCTAAGGTCATAGTGCCTATCAGCACCGTTCATGGCAAAACAGTCTTTCAACTCTGTTTCATACAACTAAAACCCTTACTTTGAAGTAGAGTTAAGAATCTTCTCTGGAATCCTGTGAAAGGTTGCCCAACTCGATACCTCCGTGACACCGTAAATGTTATAGATCTGTGTTCGGTTGCCTTCTCCTCTCCAGCTCCTGAGGACAGTCAGGGAGGGAAATGGTTCACCACCCAGCGCTAACACTCGGAGAGAAGTACTGGCCGACAAAACCACCGACTTGATGAGCGGAGAGCCAAACCTTCTGAGCAATGTTGGAGTTGCCTGCAGATATATTAAAAATAACTTTCTCCCTCACTTCTTTAAAAAGGTACCTACTGTAAGAATTACTTCAGAGCCCCAAGGAAATTAACACTGCATTTACCAAATTCCAAATCACATCTGGAAAGCCACAGCATTTAAGATTTACTTATTTGAAAGTCAGAGTTACACAGAGAGAGGGGCAGAGAGAGGAGGGCAGAGAGAGAGAGGGGGGCAGAGAGAGAGAGACGGGCAGAGAGAGAGAGACGGGCAGAGAGAGAGATGGGCAGAGAGAGAGAGGGGCAGAGAGAGAGAGGGGCAGAGAGAGAGAGGGGCAGAGAGGTGTCTTCCATCCAATGGTTCACTCCCCAGATGGCCGCAACGGCCAGAGCTGAGCCAATTCAAAGCCAGGAGCAAGGAGATTCTTCTGGGTCTCCCTCACGGGGGCAGGGGCCCAAAGAGTTGGGCCATCTTCTGCTGCTTTCCCAAGCCATAGCAGAGAGCTGGATCAGAAGTGCAGCAGCTGGGTCTCGAACCAGCACCTCTCCGGGTTGCTGGCACCACAGGCAGTGGCCTTACCCACCATACCACAGTGCCAGCCCCACATTATTTTCTTTTAAATAAAGATTTATTTGAAAGGCAGAGTTACAGAGAGGCAGAGGCAGAGACAGAGAGGCATTATCTTTTTTTTTTAGGATACTGGAAAGAGGATTGTGGGGAGCAACTCGGACTAGACTAAGTTACTGGAATTAAGACTTATTCTATGCATCTGCTCTCCCACAATATGGCGCTGGGAGAGGAGTAAACAACTTCTACACAGCTGCCTCTCACCAGCTTGACAAGCTGCAGGAGCTGATCTTGCTCCTGATTGGAGGAGAGCAGCGTACTCGGTGTGTGGGTAGCAGAGTTGGGATTGGTGGAAGAGGACTATAAAGGAGGAGAGAGACAACATGCACCAGGAACATCCGGATAGCATCTGAGCAGCCCCCGAGAGAGCCAGCCGGCGGTGTGCTGCTCCCCTGTGGAAGTGGGGAAAGTGGCAGGGGGAGCCGCCCCTCCACGGAGGTGGAGGGGTTGCCAGCAAACCCGGGAAGGGCCGAGCAGACAAAAGAACAACGCAGGGTCCTGTGTCGTTCCTCCGCGAATGGGGGAGCGACAGAGGATAAACTTCAAAAATCTTTGTTTTTGTAGGTTAATGTAAAGCATACTGATATACAAAATAAAAATCTAAATTCCTAACTTAATTATAATTTCACTTGTTTACAGTAGCTTTCAGTGGGAAACATAAGGCAAATAAATTTTTAGACAGATGTGGCAGCATATCACAGAATATTTAAGTCAAATTCTCCTAGCATAATACACATGAAAGACGCACACTAAAAGAATTTTGTAGGCATAGTTAACCAATTATTTTTTCCATTTCCAAACAAGTGGCACAATCAAGGGACATCTCGATTATTAAACTAATTATTATTATTCCATTGTAAAGCCTCATACAGGGGCAGCATCAGTGGGTTAAGTTGCCACCTGCAGTGCTGGCATCCCACAGTGCTGGTTCAAGTCTTGGCTCCTGATTCCTGTCCAGCTCCCTGCTAACACGCCTGGGAAAGCAACAGAAGACAGCCTAAGTACTTGGGCCCCTGCCACACGTGGGAAGACCCAGATGGAGTTTAGGTTCCTGGCTTTGGACTGGCTGAGCCCAGTGTTGCCATTTGGGGAGTGAGATAGCAGTCAGATGGAATATTGGTTTCTTTCTCTTTCCCTGTCTTTCAAATGGATAAACTTTTTAAACTACAGAAATACAAAATATTCTCCAAAACCCTGAAATACTGAATAATGCAAGACAAAACATCTTATCCATCCTAAGCGGTACCTGCGGAACAGTCACATCCTATCCGTCCCAAGTGGCACCTGCAGAACAGTCACATCCTATCCGTCCTAAGCAGTACCCGCGGAACAGTCACATCCTATCCATCCTAAGTGGTACCTGCAGAACAGTCACATCCTATCCGTCCCAAGTGGCACCTGTGGAACAGTCACATCCTCTCCGTCCTAAGTGGTACCTGCAGAACAGTCACATCCTCTCCGTCCCAAGCGGTACCCATGGAACAGTCACATCCTCTCCGTCCTAAGCGGTACCTGCAGAACAGTCACATCCTATCCGTCCCAAGCGGTACCCGCGGAACAGTCACATCCTATCCATCCTAAGTGGTACCTGCAGAACAGTCACATCCTATCCATCCCAAGTGGCACCTGCGGAACAGTCACATCCTCTCCGTCCTAAGTGGTACCTGCAGAACAGTCACATCCTCTCCGTCCCAAGCGGTACCCGTGGAACAGTCACATCCTCTCCTTCCTAAGCGGTACCCGCAGAACAGTCACATCCTTTCCTTCCTAAGTGGTACCTGCGGAACAGTCACATCCTCTCCGTCCTAAGTGGTACCCGCGGAACAGTCACATCCTCTCCGTCCTAAGCGGGAGGCGCGGAAAAGAGACATATTCTTTTTTTCTTCTCTGGTAGGAG